CTTCCGTCATCCACTTGACCCCCGCTGGAGAGCTGCAAGCACAATAAAGTCCCACAAGTCATGGATCCTTCCACTCCTCCACGGTGAGCCGATCATTAGGGACAAAAGAGGCAGCCGTGCTCATAGCAGCTGTCAATGCTGTTGTGGCAAAAACAAGCTGTCATCTTTCTGCTGCTTCCTGCCGAGGAGGAGAGCTGCGATCAAGCCGCACGGCCTGCTGTATTCTCTGTTCTTCCCTCAACAACGTCGGCACAACTTGATTGCTACCTTTTTTTTATCAGAAATAAAAATAGAGCCATCAGCCTCATCGCTGCTCGGGGGGGGGGGCGTATTCCTTCATTTTGGTGAACATGAGTAACAGAGAATTGCATTACCACGTTATTGAAAAGCAAACACCGAGACTTTGCCTTCTGCGTCTGTCTGTTATTGAACCGCGGTCACATAGTTCGAATAAAAAAACAAATGGACAGTTTTCTTCTCACGAGTCAATTGACGCAGACTCAACAGCGGACGCTTAACAAACCAAAAGCGTGCGGTGTGTTGAGAAACTAAGCTGTGGGGGAGAGGAGCTGGTGACGGAGGAGCTGGTGATGGAGGAGGCCTCCGCGATTCTTCTTCTCTGGATGAATTTAAGAGACGTGACTTGGGATTTAGAGGACTGAAGCGGGAGAGTGAATGTGTGCCGGAAAAACTCAAATCAATTATAGAATCATACAGAATAACAAATATCGAAATCCAAAATCTTTTAAACTCAAACTTTAGATTTTTTGCTCCTCATCCACAAGATGGAAACATTCCATCTTCTTCATCCTGTATCAGATCTGTTAAGATCCAAATAAGAATCACTGGCGATGTATGCGTACGTATACGAGGAATTTGACTCCAGTTTTTCCATTGCTAAATATTTATTCAAAGTTCTACATGCATGTATATCATCTATATATAGATATGGACACATCCTCCTGAAGTCTACTTGCATCTCTACAGTTGTGAGCTCATTCAGCTGCAGGTTGCTGTGACCACACGACAGGACCAGCTGTTCTGCACGGAGACTCATCACCGCGCCCGATGAGGCCGATGACCGCGCTGCCGTGTGCAATCTGCCGGAGCGTAACAGATGTGTCTCCTGAGGTGCAGCTGTTGGTGCAGAGGGGGACGGGCAGTGGGGAGAGTGCTGATAGTCCGGGTGCTTGATGCCTTTTTTTTTTGTTTAAGTGTGTAAACTCTAACGCCTGTTCGTGTGCCTCCGGGGGGATATTTGTGAAAGATCAGAAACACTAATGTGATGGTATTTGTCAATAAATGTTTATTTTACTCCCTCGGGACGAGTGAATGTTCACATACAAGATGTTTCCTGTAATATCATTGCTTTGACTTTATTACGAACTGTATGTTAATAACAGACAGCTATAAGAATTCTACATTAAAATGATTGTTATACTATTTTGAGAATTTGTTATTTAGCCTTCTTTACTTTAATAGTTTTAATAGCAGCCAACATACACTTCAATGTCACTCTGCTCAGGGCAGCAGCACATCTGTATCCAGAGGATGACGCACAACTCTTTTAGAAGGATGCACATGGCTAAGATTGGGTTTCTATATCAGTGTCATTGCACTGGGAGTTTTAAATTCAATCGTCTCGTTTGATATCGACTCCCGCCCCTTAAACCTCTATGGGATGAAAGAGAAAGATATTGTCAAAGATTCAAGACAAAATTATCAAACGCTTCCCCACGGAGAGAAATGTAATCTAACAAAGATGAAAAAAGTTACAGAGAAGATCAAAGTGAGATTTTTTTTCTTTTACCTTCAACTTTTAAGCATGCTGGTTTCTGTGGTTCATTTTACAGTCGAGATATTTTACAGAGTGGCTTATTTTTTATAGAAGGAATATTTTAACTTCTCCTCTGTGACGCTGCATTGAGTGTCCTGATGGTTTTTATTATCGTTTGAAACAGGCAGTGTCATTTCATCCCCACGGGGGGGCTGAAGCCCTCTGTTCATCTCCAGAACATACGTGAGGGGACAAGTATTGTTCTCCAGCACTCTCAAGCACAGTCGATGAAATACGCACACACACTATTTAGCTTTGGATAAGCGGCAATGCGCATTCATACGCACGCTCAGTTTCCCTGTGCAGCTATCCGTGTTTTTGTGCGGAGAGCATCTCCAGATTGAGAGGCTGATTGCTGGCAGACTTCATTACCATCAAGACAGGTTGAGGTGTGAAAGATAAGAGCTCAAAACACTTAATACGTGGCAATGGCAGGAAGGCAGCAGCACCGTAGAGTGGAAGGCGTAAGTATCGGTGCAGGTTTTGTGTAGCTCTGCTAGAATAAAGTAGCTGGTTAAAGTGAATTAAGGCAGTTTCCGGCGCCTGCAGACTCTCTTCGCTCTGAGTGAGTGGGTCCGTCTTTAGTTGAGCCTCCATGAAGAACCTTCTCTCGGCGTGCGATGGAATGCTGGTGGGCATCGGCCTGCACCCTCACCCGTCGACTTTGAATCTCCTTCAAACTCGTGTCTTTGCCGGTGTGAACGATGCACGGGGTCGTCTTCATGTTCTGGGCGGGTCAATACTTTGCGTTTACCAGCATCGATGCCGCAAGACTTGTCTTTCGTGAGTTCATGTTTTTATTACACTTTTATCCAAATCTATTTTTACCTCTGTTTCTTGGACTGGAATAACAGATCTCGTCTATACAAATGTATTCGTTCATATTTAGAGGTTACTCCTTCGGATGCTATTTTTTGAGTTTCTGACCCAACACCTGTTAACCGCTCAGTAACCGTTAACCGAGACGAAATGTGCCGTCTAAACAGCATCACAGTAGTGGACACATTCAGACACTTTCCCAGTAAGTCTCCTGGCTGAGCTGAGCGTTGTCAGCTGGGTTTCTACCCTGTGTGTGTTTTTGCTTACTACCTGCTGATTATAGATTATCGATTATAGTTAGCACCAGGTCACTTAAGGTGAGCTGATTGAAGTGCCTGTTGTGAATCTTTTAACAAAAGTGTTATGGTCCACTAATGGTGTCTTTAATGTTGCTTCATACTTCTCAAAATAATATATATATATATATATATATATATATATATATATATAGGACAAACAAGTCGACTGATGCATTGTGAGTGAATTGTATTGGCTGTGATGCTTATTGAGCATCTTACTTAGTAGTGCGCCGCCAATGTTTTTTTTATTTTCCTTGCCAATATCATTCACATTCAAAGGAGGTTGTGCACTATGTGATCATTTTTCCTCCAAAGAAATGCTCCGGTAACAACCGTTATAATTGTTTCTGTGGAAGAAGGTTGTATTACTTTTTTACTTGTTTTCATTGCTTCATGTGATTGGATTTATGCTCATCCAAAGATACTGTAATAAAGGGCTGAGTGACTATGAAGCAGTTATTTTTGGAACGGCAATTTCAGTGTGTCCCTGGCACGGAAGGGTGATTTCGCGTGGATGCATCTTTTATGGCGCTGGTTGGTCAGCGAGCTGTTCTCCATCATGCTGGCTGCAGCATGTGAGCGGCGCCATTCATCACCACCACGTGTTCTCGAGCCTGCGAGCTTCAGCTCGTATCCGCGAACAGGACGCCTTGTCCACCTCAGCGCTTTGCACGCCTCTCGTTTGTTTGGTGGATTCACCAGTTAAACGGCTCGTGTCGCGTTGGACGGCGACATGCTTGAGCGGAGTGTTACATTTTCCATCTAGTCATTGCGGAGCAAAGACGCCGGTCGCGAGTCTATTCTATCAAGGACGAGGCCATCGATAAAAGCACTGGTGTCACCGTCTGAAGCGGCGCATGCCGTCGGTTGTAACCTGTCGGCAGTTATCTTTCCCCTGCGGGACGTTCATGATGTTCTGAATGTGTCAACATTCTTCATCTGAGCGGTTCTGTTCCCCACAACGCGACCCCGTGCACGGAGGTGGTTTCACTTTGCCTCGATGTTCAGGTGCTTACCAGATATCTGCATGTACAATAGAAGAACGCCTTACACACACACACACAGGGATCCTCCCCTTTTTCTCATTCAATGATGGAATGAGGAGGCAGAGCGGCTCGTGTGTGATGAGAAGTCTTCCATCTGGCCGTCACAACAGGCGCCAGCAGAGAGCAGCAGCCAGTCTCACCAACGTGAGATGTATTGTGCCGATGAAAGAGGCGTTTGAGTGCAGACTGCACAGGCTGTTTGGGGAGGTGTGTTTTCTCTCCCATCTGAACAGCCTCCCGCCCACACACACACACACACACACACATGCAAACATGCTAAAAGTCAAGGGAATTATGCTGAAGTCGACGGATCTGACACGTGAACGCATCCACATATATTTGATTTTTTCTTGCGCTTTCAGGACACAAGCTGTTCACACACACGTTCCGAGATGCATCTCAGCGGCGTGATTGAGATGTTTGATTCGGATGCTGAAGATGGCGAGACTCAAGGAAGCGAAGTAGCCGCATTAAAGGCAAACCCCCCCGCTCGGCGCCGGTTTTATCCGCGCTGATGACGTGGCTGTCGGCTTGAAGGATCCACAGCGGTTTTTCCCTCTGAGCGGCGTTTATTTCAGTGGGTCCCTGTTCTCACTTCCCACGTTCAATGGAGAGCAGATTACAGCGACATATTCTCAACTGAAATCCATCCATCAACTCGCTCCCCGAGAAGAATTTCTCCATTCCTCCCAAGTGGAAAGATCAAATATTTGGTATTGCACAGGGAAATACATTCAAACGTTCTAATCCAGTTACACACTCCCTATAAAGTGAATTATTTTGCATCAGATCAAATACATTTATTTACCATTTACAGAGGATAAGCTGATGGCATTGGGACTGAACACACACACACACACACACAGATCTGTTATATGTGATCACACGTCTTGCCTACACTGCAAAGGCTACATAATGTATTACTAATGCCGCACAAATACCACCTCTGACTGCTTATCCTCTCCTCCCACCCTTTTTCTTCCTCTCATTTGTCCGCAGGTGTGAGTTCGCAGGAGAGGTGAGGTCTCTTCCCAGCATGCCACTGGCGCGGCAGCATCACCGGGCCGCTGGGCCCACAGCAGTCTGGATCCTTGCTTTTGCTCTGTTTATTGCTCTTCAGGTAAAATAACCTTGTCCACTTTTCCCTGAGCTGCCCAGGCTTTTTTTCCCATATAAATGATTTATTTTCAATCTGTCTTTGGCCGCCGTGGTAATCACTTAACCAGTTGAAAATATCTGAGAGAAGTACGCTTTTTTTGTTATAAGGGAACAAGCACAAATTGTTACAGTTGAGCCCCACTTTTTTATAGCTGCTCATCTCTCAAGCCGCCCGTTCTTCAGGCGCAATAATCAATGTTGTGAAATGGCAGATTTCCCACTTAAAACCCTCAGCACAGAATAGTTCCTGCTGTCGGACAGACGCGGACAACAGCAGGTTCTTCATCTGTAGCTGAGACCGCCAATGTTGTCAACAGAGAAGAAGAAAGCGCAATCTTAAAATACTGACCAGTTATTTAGCCAATAACCAATATTTTTATGTAAAAAATCCATTATATACTGTGCAACAGTGGCATCTTGTTTTTTTTGCCCTCCCTGGGTTTTAACCTCCATCATATTCTGTAAAGAGAACATATAAATGACAAAAGTCTGTTTTCATTTCTTTCACATCGTCGATCACGTCTCTCTCTCTCTCTCTCTCTCTCTCTCTCTCTCTCTGCAGGGCGCCGCTCATGCTGCTCCATCAGGAGGCAACAAGCTGGTTCGTACCACCAGAGTGAGGCGACAGACCCCGGAGGGCCGTCCGCCGCCCTCCGCTCCCTCAGCCAACGAGAGCCTGCCGGAGCAACCGCTGGTCTTCAACCACATCTACAACATCAATGTGCCCATGGAGGCCCTGTGCTCGGTGGACCTGGACGCCTCCGCACCCCCTGCCCCGGGGGACGGTGAGGGCTTCTCATTGATCGAGTGATTGCGGGGGGGGGGTTTGACCCCGTCAACATCTCACCTAATGTCTTTGGGTGTCGGGGGGCGTCTTGTTTAATAGAGAAACGCACAAGCGTGTTGTTTTTAGACACTTTTTAAGGCCTGTTGTTTTTTACCCAAAGGTTCTCGTGCTGAGTTGGGGTCAAGAGCTTCTGTGGAGGGGCCAGTGGATCACAGGGGACCAGCAGAATACACGGAGCAGACGCTGGATGCAGACAGCCAGGTCGGGGTTGTATTTGGTTTGAACAGTACTGAAGCGTATAAGAGCTATAATTAAGAGTGAGGTTGGAAGAGACATTTTGGGAGTCATGCTACTTTATGTTGCATGGACATGAGAACAAAAGCGGCATCTAAAGACCTTTTCTCTTACCGTCGTGTAGAGCCGGATAATGTAAGAACTTTCTATGGACGTTTGTGGATTTTTATTACACCGAGAAAACTCGACTGGTGTCTCTGGCCTCAGTTCGCCCGGACAGACAAAACTAGAACCTTTTTTTCCCCCATTTTTCAAATCAACAACGCTGCAGCTGAGTGTTTGATCCTGTAAGGAAATAGATAGATCTGTCAATCAGCATTGTTCCACAATTTGGGAAAGAATTGCCATATAAGCTTAAATGATGCCTTTAGATTTCAAATGACAATTGTTGTTGTTCTTCTTCAGGTAACATTCACTCACCGCATCAACATCCCAAAAGCTGCATGCGGCTGTCCGACAACAACCACAATCCAGCAACTTGCCACCAGGGTGGAGATGCTGGAGAGAGAAGTTTCCCTCCTCAGGGCTCAGTGTGGGAGCTCTGGGTGCTGTGGGGAGAGCTCCGCCATGGGTGAGTGCTGTTAAACAATGACAACAACGTATATGAATACAGCTTATGGATGTTGTTGTTTTTGTCTATTCAAGCTATTATAATACCAGCGTTTGTACAAGAAGACCTCTGGAGTCAACGATTAGGCTTCTGAAAGGAAGAGATTCACAATTCATTCAGAACAGACTCCGTCTCATAGGTGGGAAGAAGAAAAAAAAAACAGGTGTTATGAGTAAACGATGGAGAAAAAACTGTTTGCACTGCGAATGAAGAGAAACCAGACGGCAGCAGAATGATAATGCTGGAGGAAACGGGTTTTTTTCCACACGCAGTCCCGGGCTTAAAGGTGTGGAGCCACTGGTAACAATTTTGTTATAGTATAAGGAGACAAAAACGGATAGAGTTATAGGCTATATTATGGCTAACGGATCTGCTCCATTGACACCATCACTTCATTCAAATGTATTCTGAAAATGGTCCATCTCTTCAGTGGGGATATTATTATCTCCCACAGTCGCAGCGTGAATCAGAATGAGGATGAAATGATCAGCTGGAGAGCAAGGTGTCTAGATGGAAATGCAAAAAATGAGTTTTTTAATTCCGCAGTCCTAACGTGAACGTGAGGAGAATTGGATGTGTTCACGCCAAGTCAAGTGTATACTAAAATAAAGGAAGTAACATTCCTCTAAAACCAAACCAGGCCTCCCTGTTTGACCCGTCTTTTGGATCTAACATCACATAATAACGTACACATCTTCTTCAAGGTCATCTGGACTTCGTCCCCGGCTGCGGCGGCCACGGCAGCTTCAGCTTCGACCTTTGCGGCTGCATCTGTGAGGAAGGTTGGGGCGGCAAAAACTGCTCGGAGCCGCGGTGCCTGGACGACTGCTCCGGCCAGGGCGTGTGCGTGGAGGGCGAGTGCATATGCGACCGCGACTTCGGCGGCGACAACTGCTCGGAGCCGCGGTGCCCGGCGGACTGCTCGGGCCGCGGGCTCTGCGTCGACGGGGAGTGCGTGTGCGAGGAGTCCTTCACCGGCGAAGACTGCATGGTCGGGAGGTGTCTGAACGACTGCTCGGACCAGGGGCTGTGCACCAACGGCACGTGCCAGTGCAGGCCCGGCTACGTGGGGGAGGACTGCTCGCTGGTCTACTGCGCCAACAACTGCAGCAAGAAGGGAGTCTGCAAGGAGGGATTCTGTGTGTGCCAGGACGGCTTCGCGGGGGACGACTGCAACTCCGGTAGGCTTCTGCTCTTGAGCCCTTTTTCACGATTTGACCAGTGGTTCTCAACTGGTTTGGCTCCGGGACCCGCCGTCACCCCTTAATGACAAGCCGCGACCCAAATACTACCTGAGACAGTATGGAGACAGAATACGTCTGCCAACACAAAGATACTCTAGCGATGCTAGAGAGGGAACTATTCCCTTTTACAGTCAATTAGCTAAAAACCCCAAAGTGTATCTTAAGGACACGAGGTATTACAACATACATAACAATTAAGAATCTTCAGCCATTTCAAACAAACTCAACAGCTTTCATGCACAAACAAAAAAGTCGAAAAAAGAAACAAATAACAAAAAAAACTTTAACAGATCTATGACAAACACTATGTCTTGAGGAGCAGCTTTTGCACATTCAAAATAAATTAAATAAACCTGGCACACGCTGCTGAAAACATGGACGGACGAGTCTGCAAAAAAAACGACACATTAAAAAGTCCCTTCAAAATAAAAATCACAGGATGAATTTTTTATTTTTTTTTATTCTAATTTTTATCTTCCCAGGCAAAGGCCCGCGACCCATTAAAAACGGGTCCGCGACCCACCAGTTGAGAATCACAGCTCTTGACTGTTGTCTGACACCAACAGTTTGTGGTTCAATTCCCCCCGGGGAGCACAAACTCGTGACTCAGAGCAGAAATCCAGTCTAATGGTCGAGAAACACTGCTTTAAATCACCTGACCTGTCAAAAAACACATCTGTTTGGGTGAATAGAGATGTGATTATTATTTATTTTCTGATATAGCAGTCCCCCCGCTGCTCTGTGTTGTTCATTCTGAGTGACGAGGCCACCCGACATCAGCGCCAGCTGCCGCCCTAACAGCCCAGAACCAAAGTCCATCCATCAACTTTATCATATCACATTTTGATCACAAAATAGCTCCGATCAACAAGCTGCGATCTGCCGTGCATTCAAAACGATGCCAGTGTGATGATGGAGAAACGAGCCTGAACCAGCCCCCGCCAGCCGGGAGGCTGCGTGCTGCCGAGCGGGAAGGATGGAGTCGTCAAACATTAGCAAAATAATTGATGACAAAATAGATTAAGAATTGCATTCATTTGCATAGACAGAGTTTGCCTCATTATACAGGCCACTTAGGAGGAAACAATGACTTCATTTAAAACCAATGCAAAGGCTCGATTAGACACGGAAAATACCCTTGCTGAAATAACCTTGTTTATTTCCATTCAGTTAGAATGCATTTACGTTTCTAGTGACACAATGCTTAAACAGTGGCGTTTCTCAGTAACACTTTCAATACGTGAATAAAAGCTATATAATGTCGAATGATGCTTAATTACAAAAGGTTTGATCGCTGGTCGATATCTCCCGTCTCTCCTCATCTGCCTCAAACAGCAGAGCTCGCCGTGACAAAAGGCGAGCAGCAGCGCTCTCCCAGGATGAACGGGACTTCGCGCTGGTCCCCCATCATTTTTAGCACCCCCCCCCTTAAAGAACAGCTCCCTCAACACGGGCCGGCGGGGCCACGCGGGGTTGCCGGACGTCAGAAGGGGGAACGTTCGTCTCCCTGCTGTGTGAGACCGTTCTCTGTCACGCCGAGCCAAAACAAAGCTGTCGACAAAGAGAAGGAGGAGGAACGGACAGAAGCGCTGCCGTCAAAGATCCGCGGTACCAAAACACACCCGCGTGTACTGTAGGAAAAGTGAGAGGCTACGAATCGCTTCCGTCTTTGCAATCGGAGGCTAAAATAGGCGACGCCGGTCGGGGTTAGTTTGCTGAATACAAAACAAAGCCGTTCAATTACCTGAGACCCGCAGGGTGACGGGCGTGAGTGTTTCATGTTATCAAAAGCGGGATGTATTTTTGCTCCATTACGGTGGCAAATATTCCTCCACTATGACAAATAATGGAGGCTGTTGAATTCAAACGAGATGTTCAAGGCGTCCGTGTTGCGCGCAGTTAATCTCTCCGTGGAAATGTATCCACCCACCAGGCAGAGATCAACTGGTGCCGAGTGGCATTTCATCTCGGAGGCAGAGGAATTCACCCATCGTTCTAATGAGTTTGGATGCTACGTGTGAAAAGCAGCAGTGACATTCTCATGTTGCTGACATCCTCTGAGTGCGCCGGTCGAGACAACTGACATTTAGCTGCGGCTTCTGGGAGCGGCGCTACAGCTTCAGTGTTCTGCGTGGTTCGTGTATCCAAACCACAAAGAAGTTTTGAGGTTCCTCCTGTTGTCCTTATTTCATTCAAATGTCCGACAGAGCAGCGTGGCGTCGTGCCCGTCGGCTGTATTATTCTTTTCCTTAACCGTGATATAAATAGGGCTTTGACTGACAGGTGACAGGCTCGCGGAATAACTTCCCTTGCAGGCGAAAGCCAACTGACTCTCCTTTGTGCCGTTCGCAGTCTGCCTCTTCAGCTTGAGGGACACACACTGTTATCATGGTTTGACTGGAAATGTGTTGTAGCTTGTGACAAAAGCTGGTCAATACCCAGAGTCGTTCTCCGGCACTGAATAGAGAATCGATTTTCTTTTTTCCTCCCTTGTATGACAAAGGACTTTTTGACGGTATGTACTTTTTATGCAAGAAGAGACCTCTTGTGTGTTTTTCTTTTTTATGAATATGCTTTGGTGTAATATTTGGTTTGATATTTCTCCTGTTGTGCCTCTGCATCGGCTTCACCCACACTTCTTCACAAGATATCTCAGGGACACATTGAGGGAACTTCTTCAAACGTCCACTTTAAGGTGAAACTGAGAAGTGTGTTGGTCAAAGTTGCCCGAGACCTCCCAGTACATGATTTACCTTCTAGAATGTATAAGCATTGTTTTTGACCACTGCCTTCTCACAATCAAGCGTGTGGCCAGACTTAATTAGCAGAATCAGATGTTAAACAGGTGGTGCTTTTTGTGTTAACCCGAACAAACCGCCGTGTAGATCAGTGCAAGGGAAAACAACACAGTCCAGATGAAAAACATCTGTGTTGTTCAGATGTTTTCTATTACACTCACTTGCCAAAATATTGTACCTCACACTGCAAGGTTCACTTTAGTCACAAGCGACTGAACGAGATAATTCACATGAATTAGCCAGGAGGTAAGTTAACCCCTCCACTGACCTGCAGCTGGACTCATACCTTCAGTCATACTGCGATATACTCCTATCATAACATACTCATTACAGCAGAGATTTGTAAATCACATGCAGCAAGTAAGACACACGCCTGCGGCACATGAGTTGGTTTGCAAATGATGAAGCCTGCATATTTCTACAATCACATTTCCGCAGCGGCTGCATATCTTCTACGTGCGTCACATCTTCTGTTTGGATTCACCGGGCTTTGTTTTTTATATTCCAACCGAGGGGGGATTTGTTTGTTTGTCTGACGCGATCAAAATGTGCTTAAAGGGAAAGGAGGGGAGGTCAGGGAGTGAAAGCTGCTGCTGCAGTCGGACACTGTCCCCAAAGGTAAGAAACTCTGTAGATGAGAAGTGTTGACAGGGCGTCAGGTTGAACCGACAATAGAGGCAAACAACATATTTGCATTCAAAAAGAACTGCTCGACGTTGATGACCTTTTATGTTGCAGCAACATGGTGAGAAGCTCAATTCTTCCCTCTCGCTTCTCAAAAAAGCTCCTCTGACTAACTTTGCAGAGAAGCCCGGAAAGACAAGTTCAGAGTTTGTCCTTTTTTCTTTCTGTGGGAGTAAATATCTTTCAGGCAGCTCGTGTTTTGCAGCCTTCCCGCCCCGACCTCATTCAATCCCTCTTCTCCTGTGCCATAGATTATTGTTGCTTCCTTCGATTTGTTATTCCCTCCATCCACTGATGAAACGAATCCAGCTAATTGAATGCTGCAGGATTAGTCCCCCGGTGCGAGGTCGACTGTTCCGGGAAGAGTGGAAGGAGGAGGACGAGGGGTAGTTTATCACACCCACTTCCCCCTCGCTGCCCGTCGTTAACTGCATCACCCTCGTCTTTCCACATTAGTGTTTGAGGCTCAACCCGTCTCGTCCTTTTCCCCTCCTCTCCCCCGTCTCCAACTCAAACCGCTTGCCTTGTCCTCCCCGTTCATGTCCTTCATCCCACCCTCCTTCTTCTTCTTCTTGTTTTTGGCAGCGGTGCCTGTAAACGTCCACGCATCCTCATTGACATTCGACACCGCCTCTCAGGCTTATGGCTCGACGATCCACGGCGGCGCTTCTCCCTCTCGCGCAAACACAACGAGTCTTCCGTCATGCCATTGCTTGGTAGAGATCGTGGATGCAGAGGCTGGAAAAAAACGGTGTGCTTTGGCAATAGTTTCAAGTACTTTGATGGTACATTGACTCCGCACGACACAATCACGCAGCCGGACACGGCTAACGGGCAGAAACAAAGCGGCACTCATCGCGGAAATTTGGCACTTAGTCTCCGCGTAATCCACCGGTGTGTGTCGGGCCCCTTTTTCCACCCTCGCCGATGACGCCTCAATGACCCTTTGGCCACGGTCCTACTGGCCCTGATGCTGCGTGGGGATGGGATGCATGATCTCACTCAAGGGGTCGCCATCAGGTGCTGAGGCGGGGAGAGGACTGCATGCCTGGCAGCCCGGGAGTCAGACGGCAGACCTGCTAATGCCACTGATAACGGCATGCGTGGAGCATCGACTATCGTTGGTGGAAAAAGTGCAATTTCATCAGCACGTTTTTCTGTCGACCATCTGTCGGGTACGAGTAACTTGAGGAATGTCAGACAGCTTTGATATGGTTTGGTATTTACGAGTTTGCTACACTCCAGTTCTCAGGTCCTCACACTGGCTTCCTGTCGAGCGAAGAATTGACTTCAAAATCCTGCTGTTTAGGGCCAAAGTACATTTCTGATCTGCTGATACCCGGTGAAGCTCCAGGAACCCGCCGGTCGTCTGCGACGGGTCGACGTTCTGCTCCCAGAGTCACAACTAAACACGGAGAAGCTCAGCTCCTTTAGATGCTGATTAAAGACTCTTTGCGGCTGCCTCTAATTCATCATTTAAAGACATTTTTAAAACTACGCTATGACTATTTTATTCTATTCTTAATTTTTTAAAATCTTTATAAAGCCTTTTTTTTATGTCTCAATCAAATGTTCTTAACTGTTTGTAAATCTCCTTGCTTTATGTTTGGCTTTTTTAAATGGTTTTATGTGAATTGCCTTGTTGTTGAAATGTGCTGTACAAATAAAATGTCCTTGCCTTACGAAACACAGATATTTTGTGTTGTGAGTGCCTGGCTCTCATTTGTCACTGGCTCACAGACTAGAGCTTTGCTCACTCGGGTTCAATATCGAAATGGGTTTTTGATCCTTTCACGCAGGAAATTAGAATATGTAAATGCAGATATGTGTGATATGGACCGGTGTCTATCATGTGTCAAATAAACTAGACTCAACCCCCCCCCCCCCCCCCCCCGCACTGATATAGTGGTTTATTTTAGCAATATCATTTCAAAACGCACCCACACAAACCAGCATCAGTTTAGTCATGAGCCGTGTCTTTCTGTCTCACCAGTGGCACCGGCCATGAATGTGAAGATACGAGGCGTGACCGATTGCACGGTGGACGTGGAGTGGGAGGGGTCTGTGGTGCTGACAGATTTCTTAGTGACCTACACACCCAGCAGCCCCGGAGGTACGTGCGCAGCTGTACTGGCCTTTGGAACGTAGTCCTTTTAAAGTTGATTGAAAATGTCCTGAAAGCATCCACAGCTTCTTCTTTTTTTCTTCTTCCATGCAGCAGTTTATCTTTAAACCTGTCTTCTCTGTCAGGTGTGCAACTGGAGATAAGGATTCCAGGCAATGCCACCGCCTACACTATCTCAGGCCTGGAGGCCGGCGTGGAGTACAACATCAACGTGTTTGCCGTCATTAACAACAGTATCAGCGTCCCTGCCAGCGTCACCGTCTCCACCTGTAAGTACAGTCCTTCGGCCCGCTCTCACAAAATGGCCTCGCGGGGGCCCTGAAGCGTGTCCCACCGAGGGCCCTGAAGCGCTTGTCTGACCGTACATAAATGTAATAACTCAAATGTGTGCTGCGCATGCCTTCTCACAGGACGCAGCCGCTCACACTCCCCCCGTCTATCACCTTTTTTCTTTTTTTGGGGTTAAATCCTCTCAAAGATGTTTCTCTGTCAATAGAGTGAGAATAGCACCTGCTCCTCTTTGCCAACTGTAACACCTGCTTGATGTCACTTATAAAAAAACCACCGTGTGGACGTGTACCCGCTGGCTGGTGTTGATGGAGGGTCATTGGATCGGCTGGTAAAACATGCCGGCCATCCTCTGAATGAATAAACGCCGTACAGACTATCTGATCCCCTCTTCATCAGCTGGCTACATGCTGATACTTTAGTCTCGGCTGGTAAGATTATTCCCCATTTCACAGAGAAGTGATTTTTCATTTCAGTGATAGCAGAGTTTAGAGTTATAAAGTCAATTCGGGGCAATTAGGTTTGATGCAACCATTTTTCAAATGCGATTTGATTTGTTGGGTTGTCTTTGCTTAACTTCATTATGAAATGTAAAAATGTAATTTTCTCATAAGATTTATGAGGATGTGGCTGCTGGTAAAAAAAAAAGTAATTTTAGCACTTTGGTAAACGTGTCTCATTTGTTTCAAACTACTGAACTAATGTTGCGAGAGTTTTACATATAACTATCATCAGTACTATGCAGACAATAACAGCTTGTTGATTATTTGTTTTGCTTAAGCAGATGTTCATCATTTTGTGCAACTTCAGGGCGATTGAAACAGAAAAATGTCGGGGAGAAAGACAGAGTGGTGGTTTGTGGTCTGTGTGGGTCACTGAAGAACAATAACATGTCTCTGGCTGCCTCTCCAGATCTCTCCAACCCAGATGGGTTGGTCTTCAAATACATCACAGAGACGTCAGTGGAGGTCCAGTGGTTACCCTTCTACTATTCCTTCGATGGATGGGAGATCAGCTTCATCCCCAAGGTAGAGTACAGCTGTGTGAACATGTGGACAGACACAGTCAGTCTGTGTTTGCTGTCAGTCTCAAAAAACGTCAGAAAAAAAACGTTTTGTTTTTTAAATCTCACTTATTCTATAAATAAATTAACTCGAATTTCTATGTAGAAAGAAAAATAACTGGCTGATTTAGGTTTTTCTTGGGGGTTTTCGCTCCAGTTGAAGCCCATACCAAATTAGACAAGCGGATTGTCTTAAGCTTATTGGCTATTAGATGGATGAGCCATTAAACCATTTTGAAGAATAACTGTTCGTAATACTATCGCAGGTCCAGAGCCAGAAAATGAAAAGCTTTTTCTTTCTAATTCCCCCTGTAAACTCAGGTACTCACGGCACTCTAATCTCATGCCCTCTCACAGTAATTGGTTTTCTCCTTTAAGGTGTTCTCGGGGGAGATATCCTTTGGTCCGACCTCAAATCTGATGTTAAGATTTTTTCGTGTTATTTCCTTTTGAAGGATAGAGCCTGTCTGAATAGTACAAAATAAACAGTGGGCCTCATCATTTTATTTTTTTGCCTTTTCCCTTCCGTTCCCTTTCTTCCCAATCTTTTGTGTCTATTGGCTTATAGCACTTTCCATCCTTCCACCCTTTCCCCTCCTAATCTCTTGTTTCTACTTTCCATCCTCCACATCTTGGTCCAAATCTCCAACCTCTTTTCGTCTGCGACCCCAGAGGTGCCCTCTGTCCTTTCCTTTCTCCTTCACCTCTCCATCCTCATCTGATAATGTTCTTCCCGGTTCGCTCCTCGCTCAAGCCGTGGCAGAAATCATATTAGGGGTTGGCGCTCCCTCCGCCCGTGGATTAAATCCAACAATGGGGGATTGTGAATTTTGACAATCTTGTAATGGAAGTAGGCATGAAAGCATTGGTCTATGCAAACAAAGACGTACCTCCCTCCTCTGTTAAAGGGAAACAGAGGGAGGGTGGGTGAGGCAGGGCCTTCTCTTAACACGGTTACAAACAGCTCCAATAAAATAGCACAACTCTATACCACACCATATTGTTATATTTTATATGAATTTATAGCTGAAAAACATGTAATTCACTCTGCTTGTGGTACATGAATAGTATACAGAGCCATATTTTGGCATCAGTAGATTTATATCACATGTGTGACTCAAGAGCTTTTATAGTTTCCTGAAAGCTCCCTTTTAAGATTAAAAAAAATAAATAAATAGTTTTTCAATAGTCAAGCAAATGTGCGAAGCTAACAGGTCAGCTGACATGTTGCACATGTGCAAGTATGCAGTATTCTCTTCACATGAAGCATGCGTTCGCTACGTGACTCCACCTGCTGTTAAATGCCTTCAACAGTGTTCCGATGCACTTTGTGACTCCCTCCTTGACTCCCGGCAGGACGAGACCGTGTAAGGCAGTAACTGAAAAATCAATCTTTATGGCTTATTTGAGCCTGTGAGGCTGCAGCTTGTTGAATAAATCAAGTGGGACAAAAATAACTCACATGCCAAACAACTTATAATGCTGAAAACCCACTTTGAAGTGTTTAAAGATGTGAGGCGAAACACAGGTGAACTCGCACACAAGCACTGTGGTAATGACCTGCCAATCACTAGGTAGCCACGCCCTAAAGCACACCATCCTCAATTCTACTCTAAATGGGACCATAGATCATAGAAAGAACGGCATGCTGTATTGAGGAAGACTTTGCACTAGAGATTGAGAATATATATCCTCTTTAAATGTATTACTCAATTACTCATTTACGTAACCAAAGGAGTCACCCACTGATGGTTATTAGAAGGAATGCATGTTCATGGCATCGCCGCGTTGGCTTCACTTATAGGACCCGCAGGTTACCGCTCGCTAATGACCATCGACTGACACGCGAGATGGCAGTAGATGTACCGTTGTCGATTTGTTTTGTATAATTTTGCACTCATCCGTGTTATTATTAAGATTGAAGACCAATTCTTATTGGAACATTACCGCCGTGTGTTACTGCCCAGCCGGGTAATTTAGCTGAGGTGATTAAATGGATTACATCTGTAATTAGAGTTTTGATTCAGGAAAGCAGCAAGCTGCTGTGTGATCTGCTTTAACATGAGCGTCTCCTAGCGCGGGCTATTGTGGAGCTTGGAAGAGCAGTAGGTGTAACATTTGTCTGTTGGCAGGAAGTGCATGTGCAAACACCGGCTCCCTGGGAACAGCTGGGAATAGCAGGCGCTCCATATGGATGAGTGACAGGCCTTTTTCAAAAAAAAAGGGAGGCTGCCGCTGCAGAATATGGGCCGAGAAGTTCCACTGTAGCATGTGTACAGTATGCTGAACAGATACGCTGAACCGACCAAAACAATTTATAACCGGTAAAAATATGTACATACAGGTTAGAAAACCTACTGCACGGAATTCAATTGCACGAGTCACCGTTTTGTTCCCAGCGACGGGGGTATTTGGTTACCTGCCAGATCCCTTATTGCTACTGAGAGACGTTTAAGGTATCTGGCATTTTACTCAACAACTCTACATGCTCCTTCCATCTCTGTGTCTCCCTCCCAGGACAATGATGGAGGGATGACTGCACAGCTGCCCAGCACCATCACTTCCTTTGTTCAGACCGGGTTGAGACCAGGGGAGGAGTATACCGTCAACCTGGTGGCGCTCCGAGACCAGGGGCGAAGCCAGCCAGTCACGGCTACTGTCCTAACATGTATGTCATACGCGTGGTCGATGAAAGCAAAATGTACAGTCACATTTCCCACACGTCTAGGGTAGCTGTGAATTCACACACAACTGATTGTTGCTCATTTAGTGGAAAATATTAAATGTAATATAGCAAGATTTTAGAACAAACAAAGGTAATACATTAAAATATTATTTAATACAGTCAGCGATTGACTTACCATTTTAGTACCAAATGTAGCACAGGATTCTCTGCTTCTCCGCACACACACACACAGACACACACACAGACAGCTAAATTACTGGGCATAAAACAGTGAGAGTCACGCTGACATGTTTGTTGGTCTGCCACCGTTTATGTCCCTGATATGAAGCTCACTGAGATATTGCCCCCACTCCTCACCCTGTGTCACTATTACTAGACAGCCGTAATAGATCCAACCCAAACTTTGTCAGTAACAATTCAAGCTACGAGGTCTACAGTCAAAACACCATCAATTCCCTGTCAAGTCTGAGTTCTTTTTTCTGCTTGTAATTAAGTATTGATTAATCATTTATGGCGCGCTGTCATTAATTTTTCACGGAGGCCCACTGCAGGACACCTCATTGGATAAAGCAAGACGAAATGACAAATTAAACGTCACTCAATTATTCATGACATGAGATTTAGCCTTCCTCAGTCAGTGGGCGCGATGAGGAGGGGGAGGAAAACCCCGGGGAGAGGACGGCCCATGTGGGAGCAGCTTCTCGCCACTGTCTTCCGCAGGACGTTTTCTGGGACGACACCCGAGGGGACCGATTTCTAATGCATCAAGGAATGGGGTGGACCGAGACTTAGCACGGGACTTATTTGGGTCTTTGAAAGCTTTAAGTAAGACTTTCTGGCTTTTGTTTGCTCAGTGTGCGAAATACATAATCTACACATGTTCCCCGCGGAGCCATCAGCAGAGGACAGCGACGCTCTCCTGGCCTGCTACGGCGCCGTTTAACGTTTAAAACCAATGTCCCTCAACATCAAATGACGAGCGTCAGCCTTTTTTTTAAAAACATATTTGGGTAATTCAAAAGCTAATGCATCATCATAAACTGTGCAAACTTCATAACCGTCATTTAAGTAATAGCTTTGAGCCCCATTAAACTGCAGTAAAAACATCAAGAAAAAGTCCTGATTCATAGGGAACACAATGGCCCGCTTACCGCCGGCGCCGCTCCACTCGGCCTGCGGGTGACACGCTTACTACTTTAACGCAGCGTTGGATCACGTGCGATTGCTTGTTGTTGTTTTTCAGCAATCGGTAAAGAGAAGCTTTTATCACAGCTCTTGTTTCACGCGGACGAGGCGTTTTGTCTCTGAGTGCTCTGATAAGCTTTCACATGCTCGGTTGTTGGTGGACAGCTTTTTCAGATACTACTAATCTACTAATCTACCGCTGCGCACAGCTTCTCCCTTTAGCTTCCCTGGTCATACGGACCGAAATGTGTCCGAACGCAAAGTATGCACCAAGCGTTCTGTCACATCAGCAATATTCTAATGGATTCTGGCTCACCTCTTCCACGCAGAATGGTATTTTTTTTTAATCTCAGACCTATCTTAGCGTCTTGTTGAATATCCGAAAAATATATTCAAATCTCAAAAGATGAGACCTCAAACCTTTTTCTGGTTAGACGGGTCGCGTGGACCCGTTTGAAGCGATCACGAACCACAAATATGGGAAACACTGTCTGTGACATTAAGGGGATTATATCCAGCCTGATCTCCACAACCTAAAATCCAAAATCTTGAACATACAAATTCGTAGTGATACATACGAAATAAATACGGACTGCAACTGATGACGTCACCCTATTCACAGTGAACGGGGACCTGCGCCCCGTAAACACACTTACGATGTAAATTAAACGTGTTATGGTTGCATTTTTAACCAGAAATCAATGTAAAATTGTAAGTATACAATACTAATCAAATCTTACTCTAACCCCCTCAAAAAATCCAACATGGCGGAGAGACGTTCACTCAAGAATCCGACATGGTCCGCCATGTTGTTCACTCAGGGGGCGTGGTTAACCACCGCCAGTTCCTCTGTATTGTTACGAATTTGTATGTTCAAGATTTTCGTATACATGTTTACGAACAGGTTTTGGAGACCACGTTGATTATATCATGGTTTTGGACAAAACAATGAAATTCCCAACAATAGGGCAAATTAACCCAAATCGGTTGATAAACTTACCACTAATTATCCAATCAGAAATCTACACAAGACCACTACGACGAAAGTCGCAGCAAAAGAAGGCGAGTTCAAAAACATCGCAGCAGGACTCAATAAGTCTTCTTCTTTCCACGTTGTTGTTTTCCCCGCAGTGATTGATGGCCCTACTCTCCTGATTGTGCGGGACGTGTCGGACACCGTGGCGTTTGTGGAGTGGACGCCGCCGAAAGCCAAGATCGACCAGATTGTGTTACGTTACGGCCTGGTGGGGGGAGAGGGCCCCCGGACCACCTTCCGCCTGCAGCCCACACTCAGCCAGTACTCGCTGCAGGTGAGTGGAGGCACGTGTGTGTTCAGTTCAGCAGATCGGATCATCCGGATACACAGACACGTGGACTCAGGAAACCATTGCTCGTTACTTATCGTTGGGTTAAGGGTTGGCTTCGGGGTTATTACACTGTACTCATAAATATGATGTGTGTGTGTGTGCTTGTTAAACAGTCTGATCCCAGAGTCTGCCTTCCGTCTGTGTCGGAACATCAAACAGAAAAGATCGGCGTGAAGTGATTTCACCGGCTAAACGGTGCTGTGGTTGTTACTTTGTTCCGCAGGTTCTGCGTCCCGGCTCGCGTTACGAGGTGTCCGTGAGCGGAGTGAGGAAGGGAAACGAGAGCGGCTCTATTTCCACCGAATTTACCACCGGTGAGGTCCGACAGCGAGCAGACCAAGAGTTTATTCATATATTCATATAGAAGATGAAGGGAGATACTCATTTGTTAGTCCCTCAGAGGGAAAATTCACAGGATTACAGCGGCAAAGGTTAAAGGGCAAACATAGACATAGAGCTCCAAACAAGATCAAAAGCTATTACAAATAAGCAGTAATAAAAACAAGGATCCACTGTAAATGAATGAAATATTGTACAACAGAAATATATTATATATCCAGACAGAACTACTTTTATATTGCAACGGTTTTAGTGGATTTTATATTGGAAATAAGTGAGCATCTGTTCAGGCTGATTATTGGTCTTGTTTGTGCAGAAGAAAGTGCATTAAGTGTGGAATCCGTATGGTAATCAAAGTTTAGCAACTCTAATGCAATGTACAGTGAATGATATCATTGTGCATACAGACAAACTATGGTAATTAGCATTAAATGTATCTGTGTCAGATGATATTTAATAAACCACTGATGTTTGCTTCTTTGCAACCCCTGAGAATTGGTCTCAGTTTCCCCAACATTGTCAGCTTTATCGTTCTTCTCAGAGATCGATGCCCCCAAGAACCTGAGACTCGTGTCCAAGACCTCGACCGGCCTGGAGATCGAATGGGACAACAGCGAGGCCGAGGTAATCCCACCCGGCTCCAATAGCATTGGCTGTTAGCGTGCATAGTCTTTAAACCCATTTGAGGGATTTCTCGTGGGAGACAAAGTTTGTTGTGTCGTCTTTAGATACATACTTTGTGAAAGTGCCTTTTTCTGATGCAGTTTATGATCTTGACCTTGACCAAGTTAATTACAGCTTTTGACAGTGAAGAGTAAGTAATTAAGTACTTTACTTTTATTATTTACTCGTTTTATATCCATGTACAGTGTACTTTTACTTAATTATTTCAACCGTATAGTAATCTAATGACAATTTGACATTACTGACAATTTGACAACAATTTGTATTACTTTAAATTAGGATTTTACATAAAGAGCATTTGAAGTGAAATGAGAACTTTTTGTTCTTTTAAGTGAAGTTTGCTAAATATGCACTAATATTTTTGCCGAAGTACATTTTTATTGCAGGACTAATGAAGCTTTTTATATTGTGGCACACAGAAGGTTACTGTGTTTATTATTCAAACACATTTAGTGGAGTATCCTAAAATACTTCAAAGCCTCCACGGTATCGCAGCACAACTTTGTGTAGCCTTTTTATCACTGAGAATATCATAATTATGTCTCTTTTGTAAAAAATCATCAAACATCTGAGTTGCCCTACATCCAAGGACATTGTCCAATCCTCCACGACCCTTCCTGCATCACCTGTGTGGGCTTTATTACTCCCAGTTATCTAAACTCTTCGTCTAGTTGTTTCTAGCACTTTTGTCAGCTCGGTAAACTCGAATACAGAGAATGCACAGAAGTAATTGTCCTTCTGTTTTAATAAGTGTTTATATGTATGTGTTTGAATGCAGGTGGAGAGCTACCAGGTGGTGTACAGCACTTTAGCGGGAGACCTGTATGATAAAGTCATTGTACCACGCAATGAGGGAACCACCACTAAGACCTCGCTCACAGGTGAGCACGGAGAAGTTTCACTTAGTTTTCAGTATAATCGCAGTGCATCAGATGTGTCCTGAAGAATCTGGGCCCTCGTGTTCTACATGGCAGCTAACAATTGGCTGACGGGGATTCTGATTGTGTCTATTTAAATGCTTGTTGTCCTGCGGGCGTATCGAGAGGCTGTCAGAGAGGAGGGGTCAGCTGGGAGTTTTTTGTTGGGTTTCTTCCCCCTGAAAGGCCACGGTGCTGGAAAGGGCACGGCCGGCGGAAGAATGGAAGCAAAAGGTCCTGGTGTTATTCTGTCGGGCCACGGCGATCGATGCCGTCACCACCCTCACTCCTTCTCTGTCACTCTCGCTTTCTCTGTACTAATAATCTCTGTCACATCCGTTCGCTCATTCCTATTCCTCATTACCTGATTGTCCGCTGAAGTGATTTAAAACTGATCAATTAAGGTGTTGGCCAAAAAATGAAATGTTTCTTCAGAAATCACAGGCATGTAAATTTGACCCCCTGCCCCGATGTAGAGGTCATTTGAGATGTTGTGAGAAACCTTTTTCCGCTGTATCATTGTGTTAGACGACTGTGTCTTTGTGCCTCAGACCTGCTTCCGGGCACCGAGTACGGCATCGGCATCTCTGCCATGACGGGAAGCAACCAGAGCGCCCCGGCAACGATGAACGCCAGGACGGGTGAGTGGATTCACGTTTAGACTTGGAGCTTCACAGCGGTTTTCATTCATAATTTCAAGCTGTAATATTGAATACTATTAATTGCTTATGCTCCTCTTTTTACCTCAGCACTTCATCGGGCTTTTTCATTTTTATTGTAATTTGGCAGAGGTAGAAAAAAAATGTTCAGAATGTTAGTGCAGGAGGTTTTTCCGTAATGTTTCTGTCAACTGCATCCTTCCTCCTGTTGCAATCATTTTAATTGGCTGAGAGTATTTTGCACCAAATTATGGCTCTATTCGTTTAACGAACAAGCACTATTTTTCACACTCTCTTTAGACTTTAGAAAATGCAAAATAGCGATAACATAATTTTTCTTCAAATAACATGACATCATTTTCTTTGTGCTAAGGGTGAGTTGCTGTAAGCCAAAAGCATCATTTCAACTGACAGTGGATTGTAACTTTTCCCCCCAAAACTCTATTTGACAAGATTCTGCGCAAACATTGAGGGTTGCAGTAGTAGTAGAGGATCCAATGTGAATTAAACATTGATGATGCTGCTGTGGCAAGTTGGGTCATTGCTGCAGGAGAGAAAAACAGAATCATGAGAACACAACTAATTCAAAAAGAATAAACATGGAGGACGATGGATCATTATGTAAATACCGAGGAAGAAGCTGACTCTTAATTTCTCTCAGTGGCGTCTGTGCTTTTGATGTCACTGCTGCATCAAACACGAGGCTGTAGAGCAGTTATACAGAAGAACATGTTTTTCTGCCAAAATGTGCACAATGTTTGAGCAGATCTCTGACATTTCAATAAATTAAAATGTTTCTATTGACCCAATTTACAGTATAAACCAGTCCATAGGAGAGCCAATATAACTGCATGCAGAAATCATACCGAAACAAAACACAACTTTGTAACGATAAATGACGCGCGTGATACACCTTTAAAGTAAGTAACAAATAAAGGCTTAAGTTCAACACAACATAATAGTAAAAATATGTTGTGCTATTTTGTGGGGCTTTGGCTCAGTGTTTTTCTTTGCAACTGGAAAAGTGCTAACTTGTGATCAGACAAAGCAAACACTGTTATACACACACAGCAACGTGCTGTGTAATATAAGAAGGGAAGATCTCATCCACTGTCAAATTCAGTCATTTGTTATGGATGATTTGGATGGTTACTGAAATGTAAAATCGTCACCTCACCGTGTGGCTACGCACCCACTCAGGTTGGTAAGCAACACTGTTAATGTGTTAATGTGCTTAACACACTGCAGGGGGGGGGGGGGGTGTGCATCACTTAAACGTTGTTTTTCCTTTAAATCAGGCCTGGACGTGCCCATGGATCTAACTGTGGTGGCTTCGACAGACAACACCATCACTCTGGTGTGGGGCGTGGTCCAGGGCCCCATCGACCATTACAAGGTCACCTACACGTCCTCCTCCGGCACCACTGCTGAGGTAAAGAATTGAACCGATTGATGCTCGTGCTGTACACAGACGTCCAATGCTCATCTAATCAAGGTCATGACTTTTTATTATACGGTCGTGTCCAGATTATTGAATTTCCGATTTCATTCATAACGATCCTGTTTCCCTTTTCGTAAACCGTGTCGTCCGTTTCCAGCTGAATGTGCCCAAAGACGTTACCACCACCACTCTGATTGACCTTGAGCCCGGGACCGAGTACACCGTCACGGTGGCAGCGAGGAGAGGAAGGCAGCAGAGCACTGCAGCGACCATAGACGCCTTCACAGGTACAGAGTGCAGCGGCGCGTTATGCACTGAAACAGGTACACGCTGTTATTTTTGCCTCCGTCCTCGTCTTTGTCTTTGCACCGGCTGGATGTGAACTCTCCGAAAGGCTCAGGGCTGCAGCACAGCCTCCGTGCAATCCACTCAATTATCACGCAGCGCGTTTCTCAGGTGGAGACATTAAAGATCCGCATCTTGCTGCACAACGCTGGGGAGCCGTTTTAACGGCTGTGGCGCGTAATGAAGTTTAACATTGGCTATAATGAACTGAAGTGTGGCAGGAGGGAAGGTGAGTCACACAAAAAAAATACAAGCAATTAGGGGAGGTAAAGTATTCACGTCAGCTAATGTGCTTTTACAAGTGTTCCCTAATTGCACCTCTGTTTTGCATCCGAATGTGTTTGCGTCTCCGTTGGTGCTGATTTTTTTTCAAACGCCTCGTTCTCTCAGGCACACGCGTTGCTGTTTCCCTGAGAACAACCATCACAACAACTCGTGTGTAGCTTCTCGGCGTAATGTGGCATCGTCTGTCAATCTACCCACTGCTGTTGGTTCCTTTGTTACTTGCGCAGGGAGGTCGATGTGATTATCAGTTGCTCAAAGGAACGATGTCAGAGTGATAGGCACAGGCTTACCAGGTGGCAGATCTGTCACGCTTTTCTTCACCTCTGTCAGCATCTCCACTGTGACCGCCACAACCGCCATGGTCTTCATCATTATTGGGATCGCTGTCGTTTCTTAAGCAACGCCCCCCTAACCATCCGGTGAGGAGAGACGAGAGAATGTTACTAAAGACAGATGAAGAGAATCAGGGGGAAAAAATAATGAATTACCTGTCATCTACTCATCCACTGTTCACTTGGCCATAGTGGCAACATCTGTCCGCCGGCGCTCAGGTGAGTGCCTCACCAGGGGGAGGAGAGTGTGATTAATATATGACCTACTCTACTTTGCCTCTGGGAACCGCTAACCCACAGTCACCTCGATCAACAACATCTTGATCATGACCACCAGCAGCACGGCCATCGAATGAAGTGGACCCTCCTTTCACTTCATCGCTTCATCCACGATCAAAGCCAAGTCATGTGACCACCGTTGGTGCTACAAAGCCTTGTTTGGATGATTGGTTTCTTGGATTACTCGTCCCACATCTTCCACACAAGGAGGCACATCACCGCAATGGGGGGGTGAAGGATGTCGACAGTTGCTGAGGGAAATGCACCAATAAAATGTGTCTTAACTTAGATTACAAATAAAACGTCAGAGTTTAATCTTCAAGTCAATGTAATTTTTACTGCATCTTACTCAGTTTTCATACTTTCGCACATCGCTAATTCCATTCAAAACGTGTTGCTTCGTCAGCTGCTACGCTGGTTTGCAGTCATTGCCCAGATCATACATTTTGACAATGGCATCTCCTATCATCATCATCATCGTCATCATCATCATCGTCATCGTCATTTCTCTCTTTTCTTATTGTAAAAAGTCCCATCACATCTTCATCTTTACGGCGGATAATCTCATTTTTGGCCTTTTTTTAAAATCATCACTTGAATGTGGTCTTGTGTGACTCTCACCCGCCTCATCAAGATCAAGACTAACTTTATTATAAACATCTATCACACCATCCAGGAGCGCTTCCATCCATCACTGACACGCTTGTCTGTCATCGCAGTAACGATGGCAGATGTTACGCAGCTGTCTTTTCCTCTTTTTTTTTCACTGCTGCCTCTTCGACCCTCTTACCTGTCCTTGAAAACTCTGCGGTGACCTTTAACCCCGCCTCCCTGTTTCTCCAGGAATCAGGCCCGTAGCCCACCTCTACTTGTCAGAGGTGACTTCAGACTCGGTGCTGGTGGCGTGGAGCGCCCCGGCGCCGCCCGCTGACCTCTTCATCCTGAGCTACAGCTCCGCAGATGGGACCGACACCTCTAAGGTGACGCTGGACGGCTCCAAGATGAGGTCACAGGTCCAGGGGCTGCTTCCCTCCACCCAGTACACCGTCAGTCTGATCACGATACAGGGCGACGTTACCTCTGAGCCCATTACAGCATCGCTCACCACAGGTGAGCTGCCCCATTTCACGTGTGAGCGGTTTTTAGAGGTAACTCAGGGAAGACACACAAGCAAGGTCGGAACTGGGGGCAAAAGTCGCTGTCGGAGGGGCCCAGTCAACACAAGGCGCTTTGCCCACTCAGCGGAAAAAGAAGAAAAAGAATATTTTGGCCGATTACAAAGAAATCACAGCATGCAACATCATATATGTACACATTTGGATCGACCAAATGGCCTGGATGGACACATGGTGCTGGCTATAACTCTGGTAGGTGTGGTTTGCTGGATCAATATGCTCATCTTCTATCACAGGGTGATGCGTATCGCTACGGAGCCTTACGGAATGAATGTCAGCAGAGAAAGAGCACACGATAAAGACACTGGAATCAGAGGGGAGAATCAGTATGAGCTGTATCGTAGAAATCAAGAGAAGAGAACATCAGTGGTGTCAGTGGGGGCGGATTTCCCCGGTGGCCCCCGTACAGGTTCATGGCTTTGTTCATTAGATCTGTTTTAGTAGTTGTGCAACACTGCGTCGTTTGTCTTGACTATTTCTGTAGTCCTGAATATCTTTTTTAAGGCTGCAGCTTATAGTCACTCACCTTCTCAATTGATGTGCAAATCGCTTGGTTATTTAGTAAAAAAAATTGTCAGACAATAGTTCAAATTTGTCCATCACAAGCACTTGAAGCCGAAATAAGCAATTTACTTTTGCACATGGCTAAATATGCAGCCAATCCTCCAAAAAGACTTTAACTGCACACGGTAATTTTTCTGTCAACAACTTAAGGTACAACAATTAATTAATTACATTTTTGTAACTGAGCTGTAATTGTGTTCAGCGCATATATGAATCAGTGCTGTATTTTTGGGGTTAATTGAGACAGAAGGAACTGGAATGTCCTTGAATCCTATTTTCGGATGAAAAAAACAGAGGTTGTAAACAGCAGAGAAAGGGAAAGTGGGGAAGCAGGCAACTAAAAAGATATCAATTGGCATAAGAAATGGAAACACAAAGTGATTTTAAATGTAATATTTGTTTTTTTAGCATCTGACTTGCACCGAACCACAGCAGAGGGACTTTTGTAAACACAGATATGCTTTGGAGGTTTTTCTTTTGCAGACAAAGCACCATAAGTGCCTGTTTGTTCCATTCTACTGTGGTATCAGATGACTGCAGTTTGTCACACAGATTCAATTTGTGTCTTGCCAGTGTGTACAATGATACTGTGCTATTTTCTGTTTATTCTAAACTAATTGGCAATCACAACCTTGAGGGGTGTTTAAGTTTCTAACACGGAAGAAGAATGTGGAATGAGACGAGCAGGGAAGGAGCAAGGAGGCTCAGCTCATATTGTTACAGTAGTGTGAGAGAAGAAGTCGTATGCTTTGTACTGTTTTCTGTCCATCCGACTGAATTCATTATTCTCCTTTTTGAGTTACATGAGAGAATAATTGTTTCTCTGAATGCCTTTTGATTAGAATACTTTCCTCCAACCGTGCAGAAATGATCCCTCACACCTTTCTCTCTCTTTGTTAACGTATTATTATTTTTATTCTGCTAATTGGCTTCGTGTCAGGGGATTACGAGTGTGTCAATCACGTGTGGAAAGGGAAGCAATGAGAAAAGAAAAACAAAAGAAAGGGCCGAAGACAAACGCAGAGGAGGGACGAGATCCAAGATATTAGCTTTTCATCCTGCACGCTGTCCTCCAATTGCTGGACCGGGTTCACGTAACACCGCGGCAGCTTTGAGCTGCTCTCTGCACATTCACCCCGCGGGGCGATGAGCAGATTTCGCGGGGCGGACTTGGACGGGATTGTGAAGCAGATGTACAGTATTTTCCCCGGCTGTCTCCAGACTGCGCAGGTGCTTTGATGTCGCGTGTTTGAATGCGAGCGCACTCGGCCGTCCTGTGTGTAATTAGGGGACGCTTTTACCGTTGCATTTCCTACCCTTTGAAATATTACGCAGCTCGGTTTTGTTTCGCGGGTGGATCAGGTGGTTCTGGTTTCCTCCCCGGGCTCTGATAGCCGCTCGGTTCAAAGAGGAGCGCCGACGTGGCTCATGCCCGCGGGATCCCGCGTTTATTTATTATCTTCACAAAGTGCTAATTGAATTGTGTTCCTCCGGGAGGATCAGCTCTGCGGTGTCACATATCTCTGCCAGAACGAGTCTGCAACTGTTCTCAGGAAGCTTGGTGAGAAAATAAAAAGGCAAAGTTTATTAGATATGTGCGTATAAATAACCAGCACCAATATAAATGCTACTGCTGGATGTCATCCAGGTTGAATTTGAATGAGTTCAAGGCCAGTTATAAAATGGCCCCTCAGTCGGTGTACAAGCGCTGCCCGTTTCACCTCTCGTCCACAACAAAAGATGGAAGTGATCTTTTAACCTCCCTCAACCTTTTTTTGCCTTTTTCTATCCCCGTGTCTAAGTTTTTCCCGTTATTTCTCTCACCAGCAGCTAAAGACCCGTTACCGATGTAATTGTTTGTAATTGTTTTTGGACTAACCCGTCCGCGGTCGCTCGATGGTCTCAGGAGACGCGTAAAGCAAACGCAGATCCCCTCTGAGTAAACCTCAGTCTCAATAATGACGCCCTTGCGTTCTTTTGCAAGCTATATTTCTACTTGAGTGTCATTTGATGGTGTTTATTTATTTATGAATACGTGTGCTTCAAAAGCCAAGGACAGGTCTTTTTATGAAAATGTAATGAAGAGTCGATTAAAAATGGACAAGCAGAAGGTTACCTGGATATTTTGGTATTCAAGAGCACTGATCCTGCAGATTTCTATGTAAAATCCTGGACCGGCCTTCGTGTTGTGCTCCCAGGATCAGACTAAATTCTCCCATGTTATCCGCCGTGGGTCATTTAGTTTCAATGCTAACACACGATCTCTCCTCCAGGCATGGACCCGCCAAAAGAGATGACCGTGGCAGATGTGACGGAGGATGCGGTGACTATTTCTTGGATCAAACCGCTGGCTCCATTTGAATATTACAAGCTGTCCTACCAATCAGCCAGAGGTGGCGTAGCCATTATTTGAAATGTTCTTTTTGACGCCTGTCTTTTTTTTTCTGATAACATGGTGTTTATTACATTAACTTACACGCCAGCACTCTGTAGTCTAACGTTATGGCTAAATGAATACGGCATATTTAGTAGGTTGAACCTCATTAATTGATAACACATCTGGGAAATATAATTGTATTTTTAATTTAAATTCTGTTTTGAATACGAATCAAACACACATTGGATTGTGACCTCGCCAGTGCTGTGTGCCGTTTAGCTGGAGGAAATGTACCATCAGGTCTGATGTCTCCTGCAGGCCGCGTGGACAGCGTGGTGATTGACAGCGATGTGAACAACTACACCTTGTCCAGCTTGTTTCCTGCCACAGAGTACGAGATCAGCCTCAACGCCGTCCGAGCGAGTCAGGAGAGCAAAGTGGTCAGCACCTCCGTCTTCACAGGTGGGGAGGAAGCATCATTCGGGCCATTAGGAGTTTGGTTTTTGTTTTGTTCGTTTCCGCTGCCTCGGTGTTCAGTCAAAGCTTTAGCAGCAGTTTAAATGTCAATTTATATTATATATAGATAGAATATAAGTGGACGTAGTCATCGCCCGTTGGTTCCCGTTTGGAGAGAGGGACGGGGGCAGCGACAACATGTTTATTCAAAAAGAATGAAGAATCCACCTTTGATCTGTTTGACTCTCGGACCAACACAATCTTCCCACAACAAGAGTAGGTAGCTGTGCATTGTGAGTCCCTGTATGTTTAGAAAGAGCAACACACACACACACACACAGATACAGACGTAATCTAAGGGCGAAGCTGACAGTGCAGGAGGTGCAATCCTTACTGCTGCAATAGATGAAACTGTCCACTCCAGGAGCCAGTAATTGGTAACTTACTCCAAGCTCCATCTCACTCTCCTCTATCTCTCTACTTCCCATCTCTTTATACTCAAGCCTCACCTCCATCCCGCTGTAGGGTTACACCGTCTCTTCTCTGTCCTCCTCCTTTCTGCCTCTCTATTCCATTTCTTCTCATCTTCTTTAATCTCCTCCGTCTGCGTCGCTCACTTCACAACTCGTCGTTACACGTAGGAAAGCTTAAGCTCCCGGACTCATCATCTAGCACCAAATCACAAGTTATGCATGTAAACACCGTTTGGAACGGGACGCCGTTCTCCCACTAACTAAAGATTAACACACTCTGCCAGTGCCGTGCATAGTCATCTCCGTTGTGTGTGACAAAAGGGCAAAAAAATGCCAGGGCGAGCGCGCGACAGGAGGGAGGCGAGAGGCGCGTTGGCATGCCAATGAGACCCAATTCACCAGCAACGCGGTGAGAAAAAGACAGCAAGCAAAACGGTCTCTCACCTCACGTTTGTCTCGCTCTTTCCCTTCGGTCCTTTTTTTTTGGAACAATCCCCGTGTAAACGCACTGAGCAGAGCCATCCGGGCAGTTATAGTCTGAAAAGAACATTCGCTCCAAAGTCAAGCTTGTTAGGATGCAACGTAACATTTTTCTCGCACTGCACATTGCCCAACCGGGACTTTTTAACGCCGCTTTCAACAACAATACATGAACAGGGGATTTGGGAGAGTAATCCGGCGCTGCTTGGCCAAGTATATAATGACTTGAATAATGCCGCAATTGCTACTTACTTGACTCAATCAATTATTGTCAGAAGGGATAAAAAAAACAGAAACGCAGGGAGACATATTTTATCGTGCTTAAACAGCAGTTACTGCTAATCCAAGATGAAATTTGGAGGGTTCACAATAAATAGACTAGTGAAGGTCGATTTAATGGAGGGGTAATAATGGTGTTCATTAATAAAAGTATCAGGACACCTAATAAAGTGTTACTTGTCCCAGGATTTTATTTTTCTACAGGCTATTATTTTACTGTGCTAAAATCCCCCTCAAGATCCTTAATATAAAGATAAAGAACCCCTTACATAAAGATAGTCCACGTCATCTGAACCTCAAAGAAACTGGATGAAATTACAACGTCTATATACATTGTGTAGTTGTAATATCACAATTGTTATTGCACACTCAAATATGTATAGTGTAACGCGCACGGGGGGGAACTCTACTCAGAAACGATTATATAATGTGATTGATATTTCAGAAACAGGTAATGACAGCTGCCACATTCCAGCCAAGAGCATAAATCTGATGAATCCAGTTATAAAAGCCCTTCAGCTTTAAATTCACCTACACCACATCAAATCAGTATTTATTCGTCCTTGCCGTGGACCCCGAGGCGTTAATATACAATGCTGTGATGATGTATGTGCCGTGCTTCAGAAAGTCACTCGTGCTGATAGAGACGCACCTTTTTGTCGAGGGATCTATACACTGAATATCTTTCTTTGGCCCGCGCTCGGACACGAGATTACTCGCTGTGATCAATGTACGTATTTGACCGGGATGATGACCAATCAACAGCGGCCTCGTGCATCCGCCATGTTTACACCAAGCGAGCTCTTCTCCGGCATCCATCCCTGTCGCTTTTGAGTCGACATGATTCAGCCGCCGTAGCAAGGAGAACTTAAGTACCCAAGGCTGGGCCAAGGAATGTCTGGCAATGACTTTATGCTCAGTGGAAGACAAAGGTGTGCATAAGGAACATTCTGAGAAAAGTCACTGTCTGCCAAGAGACTTTATTCAATAGAATCAATGCTGTCGAAATAATTAACAAGTCTCAAAAATGAGTAGATTTAAATAAACATTGTGCATGCGCTGTGACCGAAACAAGATTCATCAAGTAAATCGTGGAAATGAAATTATTGAAATAGTTCAAGTGAAAGGAAACACTTGTTCCTCCGTAGACTCAGACGGTGCATTCATTACACAGCCCTTTGAAATTACCAACCAAACATACGATAAGACATAAGATGACTAAAGAAAAGACTTATTATGAAAAGTTTAGACTGGATAACCTTGATTTTATACCAATATGAATTGTAGCTGATTGCGCTGCAGAACATCGATGTGACATTTTTAAAGTTAGTAGAAAGTTGGATGTATTCCCTCAGGCATGGAAATTTGCAAAAGCAACTGTAGAAGTACCGAGACTGGAGAGAGAACAGCATGTGACTGCAGCACAACCCCCCCCCCCTCCCCCATACTAGAGAAACCTTTTCTCCTCGCAGACACGGATCCGAGGGTGAGCGTGACGCAGTATTCGCCGGTGCAATCAGGAGATGGAGAGCGATGATTGGATTATCACTGGGACCGATGAGAGTGGATGACCTGTTTATTTTTATTTCTTGCTTTATTGGACACCGCGGCTCCATCTCCATTGCCGTTCTAATTGACTTGGCAAACCTCCATTAAATTCACTTAAACCTTTTTGCAATTAAAGTAATGATTTTAATCAGGTTTGTCCATCTAGTGTACAGATAAGAAAGACCCCGACTCACTCGGTTGTGCTAATGAGCACGGTTCTTTTTTTTTCCATTCTGAAGAGGGCAGGGCGATATTAATTACCTCATCTGGGCCGAGCGTTGGGGCCCATGCAGTGTTCTGTGTTCTCCTGCCACGCTCTCTCCCGCGCTGCAATAACACGCCTTAGGGGGAATTGGGGTGGAAACACTGAGGTTAAAGGTATAATTACATTCAAACTCAATTGTGGCATGTCCAGCGGTCTGAGAATGAAATCAGGAAGAGGGGTGGGGGGGGGTAGCAGGGGACTCAGGAGGACATCTGAGCCTCTCTACAGCCTTTTTGACTGCATCGTTTCTCTGTGTGTTGAGAGTTGAGGAAACAGTGATCCAAATGAAGGCAAAGCTCTCCTGTGTCCGGGAAGTACAACTGAGATGTGGATTGAATCATGGTTTTCCAATTCAATTAGTAGTCCATTCAAAATGTTCAGGGTGTAATCAATAGGTTCTTTTTTGCAATTCTATCTTCTATCTAATTCTAACTGGGTCAAAAAAACAAATCTGAAATATTTCCATAGGAAACCAGCTACAATGCAGCTCCATTGTTTGCATGCAAATTAATTGCAGGTAAGTTAACAGGGAAACGAGATGCTGTTTCCACGGAGGGAAAGTTAAGTATTGGAATGTAAGATTTCCATTGTTATATTGTATTTCTACTCTGTTGCAGCGATGGACATGCCAGCTGAACTGACAGCGCTCAACATCACCCCTCAAGGAACCCTGCTGAGGTGGAATCCACCTGTTTCCAGTGTGGACAACTACGTGCTGACCCTCACATACAACCAGGGTGAGTCATCTACAGGCGTTTGCTGCTTATTGGATAAGGAACGGATGAGTAGTTGGACCACCAACAAAAGCCAATAATGACAATAAGTAAAGCGTTTGGTTTGAATCATCAATAACCGCTTTTTTTTTAATCACCAGTACGGCCTCGCTGCTGACGTTAGTTACCAGGGACATGAATCACATTTTCACACATCAGTTGTTTTTTTTATTGATGCTGTTCTCTACATGCGTCACGCGTGTTTTGCCAAGCATTTTGTAACCTTCGGTTCGAAAGTCACTGTTTGAGTCAACGTTTACTCCACCAATGGAGTCGTCTGAATGTTCAAGAGAGCCGTCGGTCGTTGAGGTGGAGCGCGTGGTCTTCTGTCAGGTTCCATCAAGGTTTTTTCCAACACGAAGTGAGATCAATGAGACGCTTAGAGCAAACGTCCATCCATCCGTCTTGCTTTTAGAGGTGTCGGTTAGGCCTCCTGGCACTACTAAGCCTTGAAACAAGCATACGTTTCTCATGCAGCCCATGTATTCACCGTCTGACAGCAATATCCAGATAAATAACAGAGAGCCATATTGCTTGGCCCCTGAGAGTGAGTTTATAATTTGCTCCCTGAACCATGTGGATGAGGACCAAGCCTGCAGTGGGTCACAGATAAAGATACCCGACCAACAGAAGGAGAGGGAGGAAATATGAAACTATAACAAGGTTCAAATGAGCTTTGTTTGCTAAACGCTGTGAGTATTCAGACAGTTAATCAGCCTTTGCATATTATATATACTAACTCAAGTCTTTTTTCCTCTCCTGACTTTTATAACTCTGCTGGAGAAAATGTTATGGAGAGAAATATTCCACATGACTCCACTGCCGAGTTATCCAGGAGAATCTGTATCACTGGGCTCCCACAGTCACACCCCCATCAGATACAGAGATCGTATCTATGTGCTGGACACATATTCAGAAAGCCGCCACAGACGGGTTTTACAGGAGCAGGATAAAGTTGTGGACAAATACCAGGAGTGTGGGTGTATTAACTCAAGGTCAATAAATCCCATATTTCTATCGAGTACTGTGCGGTATTACAAAATAGATTTTATTTGACAACCAGGAACACCCACCGACACTTCAAACCATGAGTGGCATCAATCAGTCAAACTGTAGTGCACACAGTGTAGCAAGGACATAATAAGGCTTGTTCAGCAACATCACTGTCACTGTAAATATTACACAGGGAAAGTAAAATAACTCCATTGTGAGGGTGTATCGGTAACTGAATTAAAACCCCTTAACAGGACAAAATCAGGTTTAGAAGCCACCAACGCAACAGCTGTTATATAAAAGGTTTTTTCTTTTAAATTTGAAATCTTGCACTATTTTTTGGAGCCAACGACATAAAGGAAAGTTTGCAACATTTTTGCAGAGTTGTCATTAAAGGCACATTCCACCAAAAGCATAACTAGGTCTGAAATCCATCAGTTGGCCCAAGAGTCCAGGCTTTGATATGCAGATGTGACTTTTCTCTCCCAATAGGATGTAATCTGCCTGCACTAACCTGGAAACAAATGACCACATAAACCGTGTGTGTTTTTCAGTGACGGCTGATACTTTCCTTGTGGAGGGAAACAAGCAGGAGCACCAGCTGTCCAACCTCAAGCCAAGCACCACCTACTCTGTAGCCCTCTACGCCACCAAAGGAGCCCTCACCAGCGGCACCGTCATCACCAACATCCAGACGCGTACGTGCACCTTTCACCCAGCTGGTCTCGGCTCACTGTGCCCTGCTGCCTCACAGCAGGACGCTGATCCAACTGCACACTTCAAATGCCTGATTGCTTTCTCTCCTCCAACTATCCAACTCGCGAAACAGTAGCGCGTGGTGCGTCAGTCCTTGTAGAGTTCACGTGACCCTGCCCGATAGATAGATGGATCCATGGCTTCTCCAGGAAGGAGACCAAAAAAAGCAATTCAAAAGGAGCTGCGGGATTATTCATCTTCTGGGTCGTTTTGCGGTAGTCTTTGATCCTTGGAGCTTAACAGCTGTCGCAGAAGGGGTCAAACCGTGCAAGAGACGTTGACGCGGTCAAAGACGCGAGCTGTGAGGATTAGATTAGGAAACTTTCCGTTAAACCTTTGCCCGCTTCACCTTCGGGTGACCCACCTCTACCTTGATCCGCCGCTCCACCCAGTTCGGCTGAGTTGCAGCCCGGCAAAACTTTGTTTTAGAGTTCCTGCAGAAAAAAAGGGCGGCAGAGGAGTTCATATCCCTCGAGGAGGACCGGAGCTCCCTGTCCTGCACTGCAGCAGAGACGAAGCGCTCGAAACAGAGACAAACTCTGACAACGCACGGTACAGGAGCAGGGCTGCAGAGACATAATTGGGGCTAGGAAAAGTTTTGTGCACCCACAACAGTGTCAGTGCTCTACATGGACATAGTGACTTGTGCATAAACAAACGTTGGTGATTCTAATTCGGAAACAGATGCTCAGCCTGCAGCGTCGCGCATCTCTACCCTGGGTGGACTCTGGCTCCAGGAAGGGATTCAGGGAGTCGAAGTAGGACGCACCGCGGAGCGGACAGAGAGCACAAGGAATCCGCTTTGCTTTTATTGAATCAAGCAAAACGGTTGAGTGTTTGACTTTTTGCTCTCTTCCTCTTGTGAGACGGACGCAATTCATTCTTTGCGCTCCATTAAGGGGGAAATATGAAGGGTAGAAAAGACACAAGTAGCTTGAAGAAGAGGGAAATATGGAGGAGCTCATTGAGAATGTTAATACCATATCACAGAAGGAACCGGTGCGCTTTCTTTTATACATGTAGCATTACATTTTCAGATATATATTTTTATATACAGTTTTCCTCAAGGATGGACCACATTCGTGTTGTAAAATTCAAAACTGCTCTTTGGCATAATTGAAATGAAATTCAATAAGGCCACAATGAGGAATAATCCCCGAGTTTAATCAAGTACTACTCTCGGGCAAATATTAAACTATTAACTCTGTTTTGATTGAAAGCGTCGCCACTTTCATTGAGTCTACAGATCCAAAGAGTGGAGTCTTTCTTTTTGCGGGAATGATGCTGACACGTCTGCCCAAGGGACGCCTCAGTCCACCCCAACATCACAGCGCGGTTAATTAAACTTCCTAATTGAAAGTGTAAAGCCGGTTCCAGCTCCGCTCACACAGCTCGTCTCCTCGAGCTGCTGCGCGTCCAGTGGAAAACGGCCCATTGTGAACAATAAAGGAAGATGAGACCATTGATGGGTTTGGTCAACTGTCTCGGCTGTGGCTCCGTTAGCGTCTCCCCATGTCTGCTGCTCGGTGTCTGTCCGCCGTCTGAGGTCTCAGCTCATATTCAATCTATAAGACCGGAAAATAGGGGATTTTGCTACGAGTGTCCCAATAAGCCCGTAGGCCGCAGCCCCTCAGATGATGCGCAGCCCACTTGCTAGAAAGTGCTCGGCGAGTTCTCGAACCGGCAGAGATCCTCGCTGCGGGCAGCTTCACTCAGCAAATAGCTGTTCATCTAGTACCGAGAGGGACAACATTATGGGATATATTGGTTTGGCTGTTTAATGTCCTTTTGAGAACTGAGGTAACTATTTTGATCTGAAGTAAACTATGGTTCTATATTCAAAATGTTTCTGGTATTTTAAATGTAGTATTTTAACTATGAATGCATAATACCATCTGTAAAAGCATTCTAAGAACCACATGTTTAATTCAGTAAAAGTAAATGTATATTTGCCTATTAGGAGAAGTCACCCACACATCATTCACTCACTAATCGGCATATGTGAAAAGTAAGACGTGAAAAGAAAATGTCCCTCTCTCTTATCTGCCTACAACAAATGACTGCTGGCCACGCCGCCCTTCCCATCTGCTGCGCCGCGGCGCGCGTGTGTGTGTGTTTTCCCTTTTGTATTGCTTGCACTGTGTGTTAATGAGACACGAGATGAAGCCAAACCTATTCATCTCAATCCCATTGTTCAAAGCGCAACGTCTGAAGACTGCAGAGCTTCAGAGCTGCCAGGAACCCAGCGGACCCCCCGCTCACCTACTCGATCACTCTCCATGCAAAGGTTTAATTGGTGGGAGTGCGCGATTGAGAACGAGACAAGGAGACCGATTTAATTGGTGAACGTAGGGAAAGACGCCTCCTCCTTCTCTCGTCTACCCGCACGCGGAAACAGCGTCCATCGATGAGGGGAGACGAGAACAAAAAAGATAAATTCGGCTCGTTCTCTCGGCACGTTGAGTTAAAAATGGCAGCCTGTCAGATAAGAAGGAAGAAGGTTGGGGACAAAAGAATGGGGAGGCCGGAGAGCGAAAAACACAAGCACCAATAGAGATAAGGAGGAGGGTGGCTGAGAGGAAGATGCCAAGGTTGATGTGGGAATAGGACGGATCAGACAAAAGAGGAGGACGTGGAAAAGCAGAAATGAGATGCACACTCGGGCAATAAAGACGCAAAGGTGCAGGAAAGGAGGAGACTGGGGCGTCGTCGTGGGCAACCTGCATCCTTCATCCTCTAGCCCTCGTTTTTCCCTCCTGCTCGCTCTGCTACTTTCTCTCTAAATCCCCGTCAAACACACCGTGGATCTGCCTGTCACTCTCTACAAGACAAGCCCCGCCCCTTTTTATCAGGAGGTTATCACGGGGGGTGATGCCTAATTACTGAGCTGTCAATGATCTTCTTATATGATTTAAAAGGAGTGTGTATGGTTTGTGTGTATGCAGGGAACACCTCTAAGGTCTTTTCATTCAATTTTGCGTTGGAAGTTTAACTAAAAGTTAAAGTCCAGATGTGAAGGTAAAAGTCCACGCCAGCGTCAGTTTCACCACAGACGAAAGAGAAAACAAGTTCAGAGGCGGGACTTCTGCCTCCTCTCCTCAGAGGGCTGTGGGTCACTACCTGACGATGCCCCCGAGTCATGATGTAACTCAAGGAAACTGATTTTCCAGAATAGAAGGTCATCTGTTTTCTATTATGCACTGAAATGAGGTTACATCGTGTCAACGCTTCTGCTACCGTGTCAGAGGATCAGATATTGACTCAAAAAAGGGTGATGTAAGGTGTGGAAACTGCCGTCCTGATGCTGCTGTTTAAAGTATCAAGGCAGGAACTATAATCAAGGCTTGTTTAAAGCCGTGCAGGACTTGGATGGCGTGATGTAATGTGCAGCAAAACCTGTGTGGTCTTGCTGATCAAGGGCTCGAACGCTTTTGAGGCTGTAATTCACTGTGACTAAACATGGATAAGTGTCCCACTGCTCCTCTCACTCAGGCCTCAAGGATTACTGACGCAGGGATTTAAAACCACATTAATGTAAAAAGCTAAAAAACAAAGACTATAAATAACAATGATCCTGTTGCAATTCTGAGCGAAGGACCTCCGTACACGTACCTTTCTTCTAAAGTTTATATTTGTGTCTCTGTCTGGCAGCCATGGACTCGCCCCTGAACCTGACGGCCAGTGAAGTGAATCACCGCAGCGCTCTCATCTCCTGGCAACCGCCCATCGCAGAAATCGACAACTACATGCTAACCTACAGGTCCACCGACGGCAGCCGGAAGGTATGCAGCCCACACGGCTAAATACATCTATATATATGCATGTGTGTGTGTGTGTGTGTGTGTGTGTGTGTGTGTGTACGGTAATTGCATTATCACAGTTGTTTCTGCAGCCAAAATGTGTTTCCTTATCTCCATCTTCCCAGATCCTGCTGAAAATTCATGCTAACAAACATGTGCCAGGGAGATAAGATGCACTTTTCCACAGACCTGAATTGTGCAGATATGGAGGCAGATACTGAAACGTCTTCTTGATGTCTGCAAAAAGAAAATGTTCATTGTGATAGAGAAAATGAATACGGAAACACAACTCTATGACAAACGCTTTCAATGTGTTCCCGTTCAATCAAGTGATCCCTTAATATGGAGCGCACAAGCATTTTGGGACACGCAAACCCACAGATTTAAACACACACACACACGGGAAGTGCGCAGTGAAACTGCCTGTCTGATAGAGGTTTTACTTAATGTGTCTCAGCAGAGACATTGCTTTTTATATTCTACTTTTTGATGTGACTGAGCAGCGGCAATGAGGCACGCATCATGCCTTTTTCCACCATTTCCCATGATGCATTGCAAAAGACTTCATCGATGCACACAGACTGTACCCATTAGTATCGAGTCACGATGTGATAAAGGAACAGTCTAAAAACACGCACACATCTGTACGCTGTGATGATGGACCTCATGTGTCCCACACACACACAACCTGCAGTGTGGTTGACCATTGGGTGTCACTCATGCACAATGAATACAACAGTTATGTGTCCGATCGTCCCCTTTTCATTTCAATTGATCCAAGTGCAAACACAGTAACATTAAATCATTTATATAACATTTCTAGGACGTTGCAAAAACGTGGATGTTAAGTGAAACAGAAATGTTTTTCTCTCCTTCAGCATACGTATCTGCATAACTGCAGAATTTCAATCTGTGCGCAACAGGGAGAATATTTGCATTTGATGCTGTTTGGTTTCATTTGGCCCTTTTTAGCAATTACAACAACACACAGCTAATCCAAAGGCTTCATTTCACACCATATGAGCAGTAACTCTGTGCAGCGTTTGACACAAAGAAGAGCCACGGGCTTTACACATCCACACTCATTCGCTTTTGTTGCTCACATATCCAACTTCAAAAAATGCATTTAGCTTAAATCTAACAAACAAGGACAGATGTCTTTGGTCACTGAGCGACCAAACAAACTGCATCAAATGAAGCACATGGCGAAGCATGAAGAGTTAACCCGACATGTAATATCAGTCCCTTTAGATTTGGGCTTTGTGCTCGGCACGAGTACTGTTGGCTCACAGCTCCAAACAACGGTTTCTAAGATACGTTTTCTTCTCATAATATATGTACAACAATTTATATTCAAAAATATGAACTATGAGTTTCAAACATTTTTGAACACAAAATTGATTGAGATTCCATGTCACTGCTTTTAATTAAGTTCTTTCGCTAACAATTGCACACAGTAGTTTCGTTCGAATTGAATGCCTTGAAATCTGGAGGATCTCGCAAATCCAGTTGGAATTGGAAATACAATTAATTTCTCTTTGATCGTGTTCCTTTGGATCCAAATCTCCAAATCTCATTACTGTGAGCTGCCTCAACGTGTGCATATTTGAATAATGTTGCTGCAGAAGTAATTAGTCATATCCCTCATTATTGCTCAGAGCAAATATGATTGCTGGTGGTGGAAGATTGAGGTACTCATTTTCCGCTGGTTTTGCTCACTTGAGGTCTGTCGTCGGCGACAATATGTAGTTAACTCGGCTCTAATCTATCCACATATGGGCGATCCTCACAGATGTTCAGCCAGCTTCCCCTCTTACAGAGATAATAGACTTTTGTAAATTACACACATTAGCTCCAAGATGAATTTCCTATCTGAGTAACATTTACTTACCAGTTTGTGAATGCATCCATCACGGTTAGTTATGTCCGTGCCTGGAGCAATAAAGGTGTCTCCATTCAATGCTCAGACGGATAAATGCACCTCCAGCAAACATCCTGCCACTCACACCCGATCACTAGCAAGCGTATGAAGATATGCATTATAAAACAGGGTCCTTTCACTTTTGCAATATGGATCCTCGTCTTGACCCTGAAAACCTGGTGGGAATATGTGAGATCCTCTGAGACAGAGAGACGCAGTTTACCAGCTGCAGCCACACTTAATTCACATAAATACATTGCCTAGAAATGTGTGTTTTGTACACGCTGAATATTTCATTTTCACTTTCTCATTTGAATGTCTATGCAACTTCAGGTGTAACACACACATGCACCAAAACACACAAATAGGCAAGTTCCTATTTGACGAATTGATCTTCTGTGGATTTATGTCTCATCCAAAGACTGAGGTCACAGAAAATACTCAGTCACACGTCTCGGCTTCCTGAGACCGGGTCAGTGAACCGCAAATTTAAAATAAACCGAGGGGAGTGGCTGTGACTTTGCAACCACAAACAGAAATGTTTGTTTCCTGTTTGCTTAGCAACTTCACGGCTTGGCTGTCGGATAAGAGTATTGTATCTCGGATCCCCTGACGAGTCGGCCACACTTGCCGTGTATTTCCGATGGCTCAGTTCATTTGCACATGCGACAACGTAGGCGGCCCTACTTGGAAAGAGAAACTCACTGCTGAGGTCCTTTTTATTTCTGTGTCATGCCAAACACACAGCAGTACAAAACACCACTATTCTCACGGCACAAACGCACATCAGTTCAAATAAACCAAACCAAATAAACCAAACACTAAACATAATTAAATAATATTGCTTTAACTGAACTGAAGATCTATTCAATTATTATTAGTGAAGAAACCGCTTTAAATGAATAAACTGTGCAGCATTTTTTGTGCAGTGTTATTATTTGCAAAATTGTCCTCGAAATGTGTAGAGGTATATTTTTTACTCTACAACTTCATCATTGCAGTTTTAAGATGAAGGTCATGTCATTTTTCCAGCCCCTCTACATCCACCCCACTTGTTGCCAGTGTGATGTGTTGTTGTGCGACGTGGTTTTCCTGAGCAACAATAGCTTGATAGTTTCTGTGTTGCCGCAGGTCTTTTGAAAACTCACAAGCTCACTCTATTTTATCAGCGATAATTCGTTTTCCCCCCCTGAGGTTCATCCTGGTTACACATTAAATTAAATTTAAAAAATGTAAATTTATAAGAGCAATTTGTTCATATTGACTCTTTTAAGAGGCAGGGGTGTGATTGTCGGTGTGCGTGCGCACTAGGAGCTGATCCTGGATGCGGAGGACACGTGGATTCGACTGGAGGGGCTGGCGGAGACCGCGGAGTACACCGTCAACCTGCAGGCTGCCAGGGGACTGGACACCAGCGCGGTGGTCTCCACCACCTTCACCACAGGTACGGCACGCACGACGCATTTGGATCCTTTCATTTGTGTTTGGAAAGAGATTCTTAAAGGGTTAGTCCCCCCTCCCCCCCCCGCTTTGCTTCACATTCACATTACTGACAACAAAACAAAGTTGTGCACAATAATGGGCCCCCAAAGTCAAGCACACTTTCCATCCCCCGTCCCCGTAGCGTGTTGAGGCAGACTGCTGCGGGGCGGCTGTCCACAATCCTTGAGGTACACAAGGTGCTCTAATCTCAAGTGTGTAATTAGATGGCGGATACGTCACTCACACAAGGGTTAGGGAGCGCCGCAAAGACGCTAATCACCTCGGATCTCATCTATAAAACATTGCGAAGGATTGTATAAACACAAGAATCAGCGGGGAACTGTGCCCACATGGATCAGCCTCAACGCCACATGAAGCGGCCAAAGCACAGCGCCTCCGTAACGCGGATGCAGGAAGTGAACCTGCGGACCAATCGTTCTTTACGAGGGGAAACTACTGGGAGGAAGATCAAGAAAAGGAATTTTCTGACAATCAAGGGGCTTGTGGGAGAGGTGGCCTCTGAATTCTATTAGAAGACGCTATCCAGTGTTGTCTTGGATTCCCATAGCTGTGTACCCCCCCCTCCCCCCGATGAAATGCTGAGTTGAACTTGATTCAAGAGTTGAGGTAGTTTCTATCTTCTATGATTGAAAGCTGATGGGTCCCATTTTACGTCACACATATGCGTCTTTGCATTATAATATAAAGTGCTGCAGTTCAACAAACCTGTCACCCGACACCACATCATTTCAAACTGTATCCACGCATTTCACAGAAATCTCCCTGAACGGAAGTATTTGCATCAATCTAAGGACAAAAAAAAACAAAAGAACAGATCATGACTGGTCCTTCTCCACCTCCCCAGGGAGCCGTCTGTTTGCAACACCTCAGAATTGTGCCCAGCACCTGCTGAACGGAGAGGCGCTGAGCGGCGTCTACACCATTTACATCAACAGAGACGCCAGCCAGGGTGTGCAGGTGTATTGTGACATGACCACGGACGAAGGAGGCTGGATTGTAAGTCACTGTTGGGATGACGCTTTCTTTAACCAGCACATTTCTCATGATTGTAACTGTGTCTGTTCTGAGAATTTAGAATTTTCTCAGCTATTTTAGTCAATATCTGCGTTGTATCTTCATGATCTTGAGACGTCGTCGTGTTTTGGTGCGCAGGTATTTCAGCGTCGTCAGAACGGCCTCACAGACTTCTCCAGGAAGTGGAGCGACTATCGGGTCGGCTTCGGGAACCTGGAGGACGAATTCTGGCTCGGTAAGAGTTAAGATGAAGGTAGTTTCTCTTCCGAACCAAATACTTATTAATCCGTAGGTTTATTGGGAAATTCAGGGAGGGTCAGTTTTGCTTCTGCCCCATTTCAACTCCTTGTAAATATATTTCAGCTGCATTTTATGGGCTGCAGGCTGATATTCAGCTGCAACCTGGTAATCGTTCTGTTTTGTGAAGGCTGTTTCACCCTTTTCATCCTCGTCACAATCGATAGAGGGTCGTAGCTTCCTCGTGCTTTCAATTGCTGTATCTTTTTTTATTTTTTATGGAGAGACAAGATGTTTCCAATACCAGCAGCGCAGGCTTTCTTGTAGAAGCGTGCCAGTAGATCTCCAGTTTTCTCATTTCAACCCCAGACTTCAAAAAAGGTCTATCCGATTCATTGCGGTATCCTCTGAAAGATGCTCCCTCCCTGGAATGACTCGCTAATTGTTTCTCGCGTCGCTCTGATTCAAAGACAAAACAGCAATCTCACTGTTATGATATCAGTTTCCCCTCCCCAAAATCTCATTAGGAAGAAAATAATTATATTCATTAGAAAATGTGTAAATGAGTCATGTTTCTTCATGGGCCAGTTTCGGAGTTAATGTGTTGGTGCAGATGAACCAAGGAAACCATGACATGAATATTTCAGGACCTTGAGAAGACTGATTTGCTAACTTTTTGATTAGAGAAATTAAAGAACAACACGGGGGGGGTTATGTCATTGTATTATAACCACATCATAACATCTTACTTTGCATCTGACACATATTGGATCATAACACAAGAACGCTGTGCAAACCATTAGACTAAGCTCACTGTAATAAGCGGATTTTACATCCAACACCGTTTGCACATCTGTTGAGTGCAAACGGTGTTAAGCGCTGCCCCACAGGGCAGAGAAGGGATCCCGCTTTACCATAACAGGATAAAAAGGTTGGCTTTCTTTCTGCTGGTATACATTAATCATTGGTGTGCGGAGGAGGCAAAGCCCCTTATTGTATGTTAACGCCACACAGACCACATAGGAGAAGGTATATTCTATATGCAGTGAGCTATAAACTGAAAGGCAGTATTTTAGTGAGGCATCGCGGGTCAGCGTCTCGATTTATATCGGCTCTTTCCATATAATAAAATCCACGACATCTAGGACGTCCAAGCATATCTGGTTCAGCGGGTACAACATTTCATCTGACCCATTTCCATTGCAGCTGAATCAGCGATAACCCCCCCCTCACTGTTCTTGATGAGTACTGGTCTAGAGTACTAGTACTTCTTTCTCTGGGGTCTTTTTTTTTTACTTTTCAGGGCCTTCTAGGTTGCACTCGGCCCCTCGTCTTTCTTCTACCCTGCACAGCACCGCGTCCTCTCAGTGCAGGAAAGCAGGTTAATGTAACCCCGGGGTGTGGAGCATCACAAGCTGCTCTCTGCTTCTGTGAGAGCTTCTCCTCGGGGTGCCAGATCATAGATAACATGCCAACAGGGAACACGCTAGTCTCAGAGGACGGACGCGTCAGTCTGTTGGTCTAGTGCTTGTACAGTTATACTTTTACCATTAATAACTGCTACATTCCTTTCAATTATCCCAGATTGCCCCGGACTAGTTCCACGAAGCTGAAGCAGCTAAATGGAGTTTCATTTTGGTATTTACGGGTCAAAAGGTCTTCTGTTAAAAAGACTTCTCATTAATTGCCTGATTTCATCAGAGTGCGGCAGAAGCATATTTAATTATGTGTCCTTTGCACACAAAAAAAGGCACATCCGTCTGGTTTCACAGTAGCCGAAGGATGTTAAGGAAGGAAAGGTTGTGCAAGACAACTAATACAATCACTTCCCTCATTTTCAGACTGCCGTTCTATTTCTATTCAGCACTGTCAGCTTGTAATGATGACGTTTTCGACACTGACAAACTTCCCAAACTGTTTTGTTTTTACACAAAGAAACCCGTTTCTAGCACATTCTGAGCCAAAGAATATTTGTTGACCCTAAAAAAAGGTTTACGATAACGGAATATGTCACTATTATTATTTTGCACCCATTCATTTTAGTTTGTAGTTGCAGAACAGAAAATATTTAATCTAAAAAAAAAGAAAAAATAACTGCAGGTCTATCATCCTTTAAGTGGTTTCCATTTGGAACAGATTACTATTCTCTGCAAAATGTGCCACAAAAGCTTTGTTGGTAAAGAGAACCGCAGCAGCTCATCACTCAGGCACCAGAAACCACAGTGGCTCCCAACATTGTTTTGTGGTTCATATACAGTTGCAATCAAAATTATTCAACCCCCCCATTGCACATTAGGTTTATTGGCAGAATATACAATTTCTCAGCTGTTTGCAATAAACAAATTACACAAGAATTGTTTAAGTAGTTTAATGAAACTAATATTACAAAAGGTTTTATCCAAATTCAACACAAAATGCTACTTTTAATGACTTTAATGAATTTACTGCAGTAAAGTCTCAAAGTGATGACTTCATGCCAAGCATCTTCAGTACTTGGTAGAGCAGCCTTTTGCTGTTATGACCTGCTGCAAAACGTGATGCACAGCCAGACAGCAGCTTCTGACAGCGTTCCTGAGGAATCTGAGCCCATTCCTCGTGGGCAACGGCCTCCAGTTCAGTAATATTCCTTGGTGTGTGTTTTGTAACCGGCTTCTTCAAATCCCACCAGAGATTTTTGATGGGGTTCTGTGACGGCCACTCTAGAATCTTCCATTTCTTCTTCTGAATCCAAGCCTTGGTGGACTTTGACGTGTGCTTGGGATCATTGTCCTGTTGGAAGGTCCAATGACGCCCAAGTCTCAGCTTCATCACAGACGGCAAGCCGTTTTTAGCTAAGATTTCCTGATATTTGACTGAGTCCATCGTGGCCTCCACACGCTGCAGGTTTCCAGAGCATCACTGAGCCACCGCCATGCTTCACTGTAGGCAGCATATGCTTCATTCTTCTTCCTCCAGACATAGCGCTGATCCATAGGCCCGGATAGTTCCAGTTTTGTCTCATCGCTCCACAGAACAGAATTCCAAAACACTTTCAGCACTTTTCTTGTGCTGTTGGGTCAGTAGTGGTGTGCGTCTTGGAGTCCGGGCATGGAACCCTTCAGTGTTTAGTATGCGCCTTACTGTGCCAACTGAAACCTCAGTGCCTGCTGCCACCAAGTCTTGCTGCAGGTGTTCTGCAGTCACTCGAGGGTTTTTGACCAGTTGCCTCCTCAGGAATCTGGTGGCAGCCGCTGACAGCTTCCTCTTTCTGCCACGTCCAGGTAGCGTAGCCACCTTCAACTTTCAACTTGCCAACTATGCTTCCAACTGTATTTCTAGGGACATTCAGTGCTTTTGCTTCCTTTTCCTTGTTTGTGCAAGGCAATGATCTCTTCTCTGAACTTTTTGGACAATTCTTTTGACTTAGACATATTTCTAACATGCAATCAAACGTCACTCTGAACAAACCCGGAGCCAGACCAGGTGTTTATGTGTTCTATCTCAAGCACACGTGAACTAATTAGTAACCTTGATTAGTTGCACCCGTTGTGACTGATACAGGGAGCTGAATCATTTCAAAGGCTGCTCTACTAAGCACTGAAGATGATGTCACGAAGGGGTTGAATCGTTTTGAGACTGCAGTAAATTCATTAAAGTCATTAAAAGTAGCATTTTGTGTTGAATTTGGATAAAACCTTTGTAATATTAGTTTCTTTATTACAATTCTTGTGTAATTGGTTTTTGCAAACAACTGAGAAATTGTGTATTTTGCAAATAAACCTAATGTGCAATAGGGGGGTTGAATAAATTAGATTGCAACTGTATACTGTTCTGTCAATAATCGAAATGAATATTAAATTATAGATAAGAGCTTGAAGGGATGTGGAATCTCCAAATGAAAGCCATCTCGCGTTCGTCTACCAGCTCTGTCCCCCCGGCAGACCCCTGAACACTTTGGATACTACCACCGTTTTGAATGTGTCGTCTCTTCATATGTCTTTTAGACTCTTGCATATCTGCGCAGCTTTGTTTTGTCCTGTCACCATTCATATCGTTTCTATATCTTAACCATTTGCAGTTGAACCGTTTTTAAAATGTATTTTCCCTAAATAAAGTAACTCGTGTTAGTTGGTGGCTGCAGTATGAGACCACTCGTCCTTCAGTCCTCTTTCCATGGATTAGGTCATAGCCGATGGCGCTAACCACTGCCTCCGCACACATAACGGCAGTATATCCGAGCATGGAACCATAAACGGCGACATTAAATCCACTCTAACTGAAAAGAAGAGGCACTTGACTGGTCAGCACTAAAGAATATGGAAATGAAGCTTTCATTACTATGTGTTATAGTTGTGAAAACGGCCGTTTTTATTGCAGCTCAAGGGCAATCCGTTCTCCCTTCTCACTGACCTCGGCCAGTTTCCCGGCTGAACACAATGTCAGTTTGATGATATAATAACAGGGAGAGACCAGGGTGTCTGTGTGGGGATACGCCACCATTTGGCCCATACTTTTTTTTTGATTTTGCTTCTGTGTGTGTGAGAGAGAAAGGCTCGTAGTAAAATGTGACGGTAATACTGCTTGTTAATAGTGAAAGAGCGCAATAGTGTGTCGAAATGCATTTTTAATGGCTGCAGTTTAGAACGGAGCAGTCTGGTCCCATAAAATGAAAAGTGTGATTATGTGCTGATGAAACAGCAATATTATACAACGGTAATTCGAGATGACTGAGTGTGAAACACAGCTTTGTTACAACCGTTGCTTTTCCTCTGTCACCTTAAGTGCCTTCAGGTCTTTACGTGGATTTTATGTATCCTGGTTACTGGTTGCTTCCCTGCTCCCTCGGATTTCTACTTTCTACTCCTTATCAGTGCAGAGGAGGATTCAGATTGTCTTTCTCCTGTTTGGTACATGTGATGCTTCTGCTGGAGGTTAAGCAGAGAGAGAGAGACTCTTTTTGCAATCTGATAGCGACGGCAGTTCCGACCGCTCAGGTCGGTGTGGGGGGGTCTTATCGGCCGGCGTTGTTCAAACCAGCCTCACGTCTGCTGCCTTGGAGATAGAGAGCGAAGCGGCGCATCGCCGTGGCATTTGCAGAAGGGCCGGTGGTGGTGACTCTTGAGAATTTCAGTCATGGTCATCCACGACAGCCAGCTGACAAAGACGTCCAACCAAGAGCTTTGACCTACAAAGCACACACTGTCTTATCAGTGTGGGGTTGCTAAAGTTTGCCATTTCTTCAATCACAATAGGGAGCGTGGGACATACTTGATATGCTCATACCTTCGGTTCTTAAATACAGCAGCAATACGAAGTGTTTTTTATCTCCCCAGGTCTGGACAACATCCAGAGGATTGCTTCTCAGGGCCGCTACGAGCTGAGAATTGACATGAAGGACGGACAGGAGTCGGTCTACGCCAACTATGACAAGTTCTCCATTGGAGATGCAAAAAATCACTACAAGCTACGGCTGGGAGAGTACAATGGCACCGCTGGTACGTGATGCATTACTTACATACTCCATTGTTTTGTATTTCACTCGGCTTTGGGGACGATGTCCTCGTGATGAACCCAAGGACATCAACATGCAAAGCCTTTCGCAGTATAAATGGCTTTCTGAAATAGACAATACACATTATATGATTTAATATGGCAAAGGGGGTTCTCTCCCATCTCCCCCATCTTTTATTTGCCCTGGCGTCTGAACCTTCCCTCTGCGCTGCTCCACGGTCCCACTTCTGTCCCCCTCCGTCTGTCAACAGGCCCATATGCCAGAATTACCTGTCATCCCCTCGTGTTTGTAATTATAATTTCTAAATCCAGAGAGCCTGTAGCAGGAGCCCCCCCCCCCCCCCCTCCTCCTCTGATATTCATCCGGGCGCTTTTGCCCCCTCATCACGCCGTTATTACGTTATTAACCGCGGCCACATGTAGGCGTCCCCCCCGCGTGTGGGGATGTTTAAGGGTCTGCGTCCGTCGTCCTCTCTGAATCCAGGTGAATCTCTGAGCTACCACCAGGGGCGGGCCTTCTCCAACAAGGACAGAGACAAAGACATCGCCGTCACCAACTGCGCCTCGTCTTACAAAGGAGCGTGGTGGTACCAGAACTGCCACAGGGGCAACCTCAACGGCAAATACGGAGAAGTCCAGACACAGCCAGGTCAGTGACCCGACGAATACACCAGCTCCATCAAGTGACCGAATTACAAAATAACATTATTACCGTAACCGTGACTTATTGTGCTTCTAAATCTGGGAGCTAAACTTCATCCCAGGTCTCAAAGAAAGTGTCTGTGCCAAAAAAGTATTTTTTCCGATAGCGACCTGGCAGCTCACTTTTGCCTTTTTCATCCTCCAGGCCAAGCCAATATTTTTGGTTCAATTTGTCACGGTTGTGATATATTCTTATCTTAAATTCCAGCCGCCACCCTTTCAGAAATAAGTGAGAAAATCTTTGGTTTTCACATTATTCAACGGCGTGTCGTCAAGTCACCTCACGCTGAATCTTCCACAGGAAGCAATTCATTGGTAGAAAGTTGTTCCATTGGAATTGGCTGACGCCCATTTATGGGGATTATTCAAAGTTTCGTTTCTGGACAAGACGCATTGAGTTCAATTGTGTTATAATGCAACGTTTGTGGTTCACCACACCAGCGTGGTTTTGGTGAACCAGGAGGAAACTCAGATGTTGTCTCCAAACCTCACGACACCACATCCAATCTGCCTCACTGCCCTCTGGGTGCAGCCTTTGACTCACTGCTGTCAATTGAACGGTGGCATTTTGGCATTCACCAAAACCCAAACACATTATGAATTGCCGCAGTGTGATTATTAAAGTTTATTAACGCTCCTCTGAAAGGTTACTCGCCGCAGACATCCAGCTCCGCACTCGTTACACTGATTAGCCTGATGGAGGAGCCGCACTGAAAGGTCGAAAATAAGGACCTGTAATGCTGCACCACTTTATCACTTTTAATCAAGTCTGAGGAGATGATGCATCTCAGTCTTGACTGATAAAAAGTGCCCGCATCATCTGTTGGGAACGACTCTCTTATCCAAACACTCCAGTTATATATATATATATATATATATATATATATACTCCTATGACAGACAGGTGTGCGAGCAGCATGTGTCTTGACTATACTGGCACGCCGCGCTCGCACACTGACAGGTGTGCTTCTTTTGCACGCCGCGCGTTAGGTGGGAGCGAGTGTTGAGGGCTTGTCCGGCGCTTTTCCTCCAGCGCGTGATGTCGCTCTCCCCCGGCCTCTCGCGCTGCAAAGGCCTGATTAAGGGAGCGGAGGTGTTGTGCGGAGCCGCGATTAGGCTCGAGCCGCACAGAGAGCCCCGGGCGCTTCGCTCCGGCGCTCCCTGTGCGCGACACCGTCTTCTTTGTTGTCTGAGGACATGAAACGAGAACAGGTGTGAGCGGAGATGGAAGCGTAATGACACGCTCAGAGAAATGGCCTCTCGGTGTAAAGCTGCAAATGGGGAGAATTTGGCGGTGGCCGGGTTTAGCGGGGATGGAGGGAGGCCGTGATGACACTAAATTCATGATTGTGTTGCCTCTCAAGTCGGGATTATAACGGCTTCCCTCGGTCGTAATTAAAATATGCTTAACTGAATAACAACACTTCTATCGTCAGTCTCTGCATTTGCTTTTATGCCGTCTGTCTCTGATGCCCGTTCCTTGCCTTGTTGGTTCAAGGAGCTTCTGAAATCACACTTTTCCACTCTTACAGGGGATTAACTGGTACCACTGGAAAGGCCACGAGTTCTCTATTCCTTCTGTGGAGATGAAGATGAGGCCGTTCAACTTCCGCAGCATCAGCAGCAAGAGGAGGCGGTCCGCCCCTGTGTAAACACCCCGCCTCCTCCCGACCACCCAGGCTCCTGGGTAAATGGAGTTCGGACTGATGTTTGCCGATGTCTCTGCTCACTGTGTGCACCACTGAAGTGCTCTTCGATGCATTCGAGTGTTGCTGCAAAGAAACCGCGCGGTTATAAGCGAAAAGCTACTAATATTTTATTAATATTCGGTTGTACAAAAGAAAAAAGGAAATCTCATGACTATTGATGTACTACCAACACGTAGAAACCGTTGACGTGATCGTGGAATATGAGAGAGGGCGAAACGGTGTCCGAACTCTGTTTATCACGGCCTCAGCCAGGCTTTAGCTGTGTTTTCCTGCTGTACTTCTACCCAAACGATAGAGGACAATGTATGTAATTTATGAAACACTTTGAATGACAATGGTTCCATTTGCCGTAAAAAAAAGAGAAAAAAAATAGGAAAGGCAAAGCAAGAAGCTTTTGCTTTCTTTAAGTCTGTGATTTGCCGTTCCTGGAATGCAAGGAAATGCCTCAGAAATGCCCTTAATACTAAGATTATTTTAACCCTTTTGAAAAAATCAAAACACTTTTAACAAAAATATACTGTAAATGCCCTTAAAACCCTTAAGTGTAAGATAAATATATATTTTTATAGCTGATATTGTGAAAGATTCATCTATTTAATATAATTTGATGCATCGGTGTTTGAGCCTCTATTAAGTTAATCTAATCGTATAACATGATAACCCCCATGGACATAAGAGATAAGAATAATATCAAAAACTAAACTGAACATCCAGGATTATTAGCAGGCAGTGCACCAGCAACAGCTTCATTACCATGTATTTAGTTTATTTATTTCATCTCTGTCTGTGTTACTGTTGACTACAGCATCCTTTGTGTTAATAAAGCAAAAGGATTTTTTTATGTTAAACTATTATTATTATTGATACCAACACTGAGAGAATTTGCACTACAAGTGGAAACACCGCAAAGCTATTCTGGTTCAAGTTATTTTTTTTTTAGTTCTTGGGCATTAAGATATTATTTCCTTGACCTTTTAGATGCTCCGATGCCTGCAGAGATGATGCAGACAGATGAAACATTTGAAGCTGAGGGAGGCCATTTAATTTCAGCATTACAGGGGAAAGATTCCACGATAACCTTTCAGCATATATTGTAATTCAAGTAGTACTTTAAGACCAGACTTTTTCTGAAAAAGACCAAAAAACACAATGATTTAAAATGCTGATTAAACCACGCTCACCCTGCAGCTCCCCCTCTTATTTCTAAACTGTTGAATAGCGGAAACAAGAATTCTGGTGAACCTTTACTGTCGCTGCAAAGCTAGAGAGACTATTAGCAGTATCTACATCGTCTGAAACGCTTTCTTTTAGTCCATCTTCTTTATTCGGGGGTTGCTATGGAGTGCAGGTTGTCGCCACTGTTGCTGCAGGATAGGCCACTCGACGCTTTCCTCCGTAGGGACGTTCGCTTAAATCTGTATACGCATAAACAGCCAATAGGATTTTGTATCTGAAACCTGTTATTATGGAGTTTTTTTCCCCAATGGTGCCATACATATTTCGGATACCCCAACTTAAACCAAAGATCTGCATAGTAAAGACTCACCCTGCAGTTTGAAAACATGCCAGTTTGCTTTTTCAGATCTTCACTTTCCAGGGACTCCCGTGTCCCTTGGTGTTATTTCATGCAATGTTACTTCTATGCAAAAGAAAGTTGGGTGGACTTTAGCCTGGCGTCTCTCCCACTGGTTGCATGAAAGGAACTTAACAAAGACAGCAGAAGAGTCCGTGGAGTGGAGCCGAGTTCTTCTTCTGAACTCTTCTTTCACTTGCTTGGCTATTTAGGGTCCCCAGTGAAACCACAGAAACAGCAGATCTGGCACAGAAAGTATTGCTTTTAGTGGGGTGGGTGCGATCTGCAGCATGCCCACCAAGCGTTTTGTTTTCATTCAGTGTTCACATTGTCACACAAAGCGTGCGGTCCATTACAGTCCTCGGGAAAGCAATGTAACCAATCCTGCAAGCGACATTTAGTTTTATTTAAACGTTCAATAATCTAATTTAAACAGCTGGAAATCTTACTCTTAAGGAGACTTTGTCAGAAAATCTGGCTTGTATCTGCATATTTTCAACTTTGCCCTCTATTAACTACTAATATACTCACATAGAAATAGAGTTGAAGACTTTTGATGTGTTACCCCTTTAGATGCAAACTAATTGGGTCTGCCCTCTGAAACATTTCCCTTTTAACTTCTTTTAACCATTTTTATGTTGAAGGTTGAATCGATCCCACTGCATGTTCACGAAATCACGATCAAGAGTCTAATAGTGAATAACACAAGTCATAAGAACATTTTAGTAGTGACACATTTTCTTTGCTGATCCGGGTAAAAGGTTCTCTTGAAATAGTTTGTACGGTAGCGTATGTAGATAATAGAGATTCATTAAGCATCCAAGCTGCATTGTACCCGCATGGGTAGACTAAAAGCAACATGACCTAAAATGTAATCTAGAAGAAAACGGTTTAAACGTGTGACCTTTCCCAGGTCTGATTTACGGTTTACTGTCAAGGTGACTGTTTCAGAGCCTCTCATGCAATCCATCTCCCACAGTGATTTATCGTAGAATAGTGAATTCTCCAAGTACTTATTTCATTAACTATTTAGATGAAGTTTGCCTCTGTGCATTTTGTAACAATGGACAAAGGTCACAAAGCTTTGCAGAAAAGGAACAGAATGTTGTTTGTATTTAGGGATTTATCTCATGGCAAACTATAAGATACTCTTATTAGAAGTGTTTTACATATATTTTTTTCCTTTTTCCTCGTTTATTACCTTTATCCTGTCAATCAATGGGAAACCCACTAAGGGAAATTGTTTGGTTCAAGTTGCATTACTATGGACAATTTAAATGATTTGTTTGGAGGGATTGTTTGAAAGGAGAATTTCCTCCATCTTTTTATTTTCTTACAGGAAACTAGTTCCTGCTAATTTAATTTATTCTACTTTATTAATTCTCCAATCATTTTTACTGATGCATCATTGTGTAAAAACACAATTAACTATGGTCCCCTGTAATTTCAAAGCGAACATGCTTTATTTCATGGGTTTACTTTTAAATGTGAATTAACTGATATACCAGCCTGCATGGGCATATCTGTTATATAAGCCAGACACTGAAACTGCATTGAATTAAAATCTTGCCATGAACATGTTGATAAAATCTTGACTGTGAGAAGTTCATTATGCTGAAACTAAGGAATTATTGCTGGATAGCCTTGGATATTACTGTCAAATGAAGCTCTAGTTTGACTTAAACATGTACTATATAGTTCCTTTTTTAATACATTTTCTACATATTAATAAAATATTCAAATCGTCCGATTTGGGGTTTTGCGTTTCTTCTTTGTATTTGAGTGTGTTCGTTACTCACAATTAAGGATCCTGCTCTGCACTCAAATTCTACGGCAGCTTATAATTCTGAATATCTTGTCAGACACCAGATGTCCTCAACTTTTCAACGTTTCTTCACCTCTAATTGGAGGCTATTAAAAACTGAGGTTTGGCCGGCAGCAGTGAGTGAGAGCGCAGCCATCGAGGTCTGCCAGTGAGAAAAACCACACATTATAATTGATTTTTGAAGACTTGCCCACACACATTAAGTCACTTCCGTTTGGGTCAGACAAATCTTTGGTACATTATTGACTCAAAACTAAAACTTTGGGGAAAGGGGAAGGTGTCCTATTTCCACATTAACAAACAACACATCGGCCTTATTTCATCGAGCTTTTATCGGTTTGGCCTTCTCTTTTTGTCTCGTGGTCTTTGAAGAACAGAAACTCTCGTCTCGTCCTTAAATGGTGAGTCATGGTTTATTCCAGAGCGCCTGTGAACCAGCCAGACACAGAATAATCGGCTCCATTTCAAAGGGCCGTGAGCTGCAGCGTCTTCCTGCAGACGGAGAAGGTATGTAGTGCCACGCATCACTCGTGTGAACAAATTATAGCAACAGTACAAAGGTGCTATAGAAGCCGTTTATGTGCATTTACTTTATTTAATCGTTACTTTACGTTGAGCCTCGGGTGCTTTTGTCGTGTTTGTCACGTTGTGGATGGATGCCTCACCTTCTTCTGCGAACCAGGTCTACCTACTAACCTGAAAAGACAATGTTCTTTATGCAAGAGCCCAAATTGAAGTGGATTAGAGCTTTAAGAATGATGAGCAAGATTTGAATTGGGAATAACACCTACTGGCTAAGTGAATGATAAACGGACTGTACTTGTAAAGTGCTTTTCTAGCCTTCCGGCCACTCAAAGCGCTTTAACACTTGACTTCATCACTCTCATATTCACACGTTGAGAGGAGCTGTCAAACACAGCGCATTCACGCAGTCACAGCTACAGACGCAATGTTGGGGTCAAATGTCTCGCCCAAGAGCACACTGACGGGTTAGCAGGGCCCGCGGTTGCACCAACAACCCTCTGATTGGAGAAACAGCTCTCCACTCTGAGCAGGAGGAGCGGGTGTGAGGTTAGCGTTTACACGCCGCCTGTGGGAAAAGCATCCGTGCTGACCGAGATCCTCATGGATTAACAATAGACTCCACAATCGAAGGAATTTTCCACCAAATAGAAACCGAATTAGGTTGGTTTTCACCCGCAGGGTAAATGGAGTGTGTACGTGAGCACAATGTTGCACTGTCAGGAAAAAGAAACGTGCTCATACGTGGGGGAAAGTTAAGGTTGAGTTGCCGCTTCACTAATTAGACTGTTCACTTGAAAAGTTTCCATGAGAACATGAAGTTAGCTTATGTGTGTGAAAGTGGCTGGATTCAAACTGTCAAAGAATTACTTCCTAACGTCTATTCCTAACCACTATCCCTTGAGCTGTGTGGAAAACGGCAGGGGGACGAGGAAACATCGTTAGGAGAATTCACGAGGATGTAGGAAAGGAAACCGCGTTGTTTAGGGAATCCGACTCCGCTTTCACTGAGCTACGTAGTTAAGATTTAACGTCACTGACCGTTTCTCTGCTTATGCACAACAAAGAAGAGCATCTTAGATTCCTTCGTCCGTGTGTTAGATGAAGGAGTTCTGCATACAACATACAAAAACAGGTTCAAAGTATCACTTTATTAACAAGGTTGCACTATAAATGAGTTATGCTACTTGGTTACTTACATTAGATAAGCTTCTCCGTCATAATCGTTATTTTTCATGAACGTCCAAATGATAAGTCACTTTTTAAATATTGCAAATGATCTTCTTTCCTTTCTTATGGTTCCTATGCTAAAGGAGCTAAGTGGCGAAGCGTTGAATCCAGCAGCTGTGTTCGGTGTTATTGCAGCAGAGAAGACTTTAACTGTAAAGGTGTTGTAAATGTAGTCTAACCCCAAAGTGAGCATCAGCTCCAACCCTAGACACAAAACAAAGCCATAAGTCAAGATTAAACAATGCTAATTATAACACTATGACAGTATTGTTATGTAACCACCGGTAGGTACGGAGGGGCGGTTATCGTCCCCTTAGGGATATTAATTATGACCCACAGATGACCAGTGTAAACAGACCAAAGCAACAATATTTATTTTCTTAAAATATCAAAAAGGTAACAATTCATTTTAATAATTCCCATCAGCTCTGGGAATGTCGTCAAAGAGGAAAATAAGTTTTAATAAACAAATTCAATTCTATTGGTGCCGTAGGCTGCAGCGGGCTAAGAAGGGAAAAGAGAGGGGACAAACTCTGGGACAAGGCCCTCACTCCCTCCAGCGCCGCATCCACACTCACGCAAAACAATGTAAATCAAAAACCAAAAACATGCAACTAAGAAAAAAGGGGAGGAGAAAGTGAGGCCCAGTCCAACCAGCCCCACCACCATCCGGGTAGCCACGCCGCAGCCTGCCCCACGCACTCCTAAACACAAACAAATACAGTGTAGAAATTTCTGGGGGACAAATCATGATTTGTTCAAGACACAGAAAAACTAGCACAGCGTGATCCAACTGAACAGGAACAAAACAAAACCAAGCAAAACAGCAGCGCGTCACGGCCTGGGCTGCATTCTCTCCACCTGGGTCGGCTCCCACCCGATTTGGGCCTCCTCGAGGCACTGGGTCTGGGGCAAAAACCAGAGCGTCACTGAGGGAAAGTTTGTTCTTTCTAAAACACGGGTAAAAAAACTACGTACTAGCTCCAAACGGGTTGTCAAGACCAGACTCCGACACAGGAAGACATAGGGTGGCCATTCGTCCGGCTTTTAAATGCCCCGGCCGGCTGGACGCTCATTTCTCCTCCTTTTGAGAAAATAACTGAAAAGGTCCGCCTTTTGACACATTACCTCGTTAGTCAAATAAGTAATTTCATTGGTTACATTTTCGGGGGGTGCTACCGGGCTGTGTCACAGTGTGAAAGGACAAACTACTACTGTATCCCACTGCTCATTTTAACAGACAGGACAGCTCTCACCTCACATGCTCAGCTCTGTGCGCGCGGCTGCCGTCAGAATGTCATACAGCTCAAAATAATTTAATTAGCATAAAAAATATTATTAGACCTATGTGCTCTGAATTGGGAGGGCACGTTGTCATGATCTGTATCTTGTATATTTTTTATTAGCTATGTGGTATGTGTATGCACCTTTATGTAATCTGGTGGAAAAACATAGTAAAATTTAAAACCGATAACACCAAACAAATATCTGCTTCCGTGTCCCCGTGTATGCAAAGTGTCCTCCTTTTTGACGTGAAGCAAATGGACACCCTAGTAAGACAGCATGGTCCTGTAGAGTCGTAAAATGGAGCCTTTATACCCAGACTAATTGGCGAACCAGGAAGTGGGAGTGGCTTAAACCTATGGTATCACGTGAGGGACATTTCCTCACTGGCTACAGTTCCATTAAACATATCATTAATTTGAGCATCTCTACTCATTCATGCACACTATGAACACACATTGTAGCCTCTGAACTGACTGCAAAAATATTTACTTACAAAACCCTGTTTCAGCAGTTTTGGGATTCATTGTTTAATTAAGGCATATTCTAATTATTCATTAATTATCCTTTCAAAAGTCCAGTCAGCAGATATTACTTGGTAAATAAATGAGGGCTTCGTGAATACATTAGAGTGAGACATAAATAAATGAGCAACACAGCACTCGTGGCGTAAAGGTCAGAGAGATGAGCTCGTGGTCAGACTTTGATAAAACACATGCAAAGATACGTCACAAAAGCAAATTTCACCTGTGTGTGAGCAGGCGTTCATTCCACATGATGCCAGCGGAAACACTGCAGTGAAAAGCGCTGATGGCGGCCAAACAGCTACGCAAACCACCAGAGGAGCCAAACCTCGGCTACGGCGTGAAGGAGAACCGTCGACAAACCAATGCGAGAAAGATACGTTAAAAGTAAAAGTACTGTACTTGTATTGTAAATCGACTGTACTTGTATTGTAAATCGACTGTACTTGTTTAGCGCTTTTCTAGTCTTCTGACCACTCAAAGCGCTTTAACACTACATGACATCATTCACCCATTCACACCCATTTATACCCTGATGACAGGAGAACCACACACAGTGACACCTGCCCATCAGTAACTACCATCCACACACTGTAGTCGCAGCTACAGGAGCATGTTGGGTTAAGCGTCTTGCCCAAGGACACATCGACATGCGGGTTAGCCGGGCCTGGGATGGAACCGACAACCCTCTGATCGGAGGACGACCGTGCTCCCCACTGCACAGTCGCCCACGGCCAGGTGAATTGTGTCGTTGTGTAAGTGCTCAACCTGCATCGCTGAAAGATTCTGAAGGAAATCCACAGGCTTTGCCGACTAAAAAGTCCCCTGCTCCGCACATTCCAGCTGTGTACTTTTTTCTTCTGTGCTAGAGCACTTTACCTCACGCTGCAGGGACCCTAACTGTTCCCTGATAAAAGACAAATGTTTCTCCTGCTACCTGTTCAGAAAATGTAATACTTACTTACTTTCTTTAATAGTTTTTTATGTATTATTGAATTGTGCGCATTAATCGCTGTTAATCACGTAATTAATTGATTAAACGTATTCTTGTGTCTTTGCACAGCACTAATATCATATAATTATTGTTATTCATATACAAAATATTATTCTGTACTTTTACTTCAGAAGGATTATAAATGCTTAATGTGATTCTTACTGGTACCGGGTGCAATGGTGACTAGTATGTGTAACGTCTCGTTAGCCTCATGTATCTGACCGTGTGTGTGTGTGTGTGTGTGTGTGTGTGTGTGTGTGTGTGTGTGTGTGTGTGTTTGTCTTTCCCCTGATTGCACTCTGCATACTCACCTGCCCCCCGGCCGCCTCCAACTGCCTCATCACCCCACCCATATAGTTGTAGATTGTCGT